TAAATAATCAGCCGGGTTTCCATCAAAACATCGTGTTTCTAATTTAGGGAGTTTGATGTTCCTATTATCCCTGAACGGCGAAACAGTAACATCAACCATATCATGTTTAACATCAGACATATCCTTACAATTAACAGACAAGTCACCATGACTTACTTTCCTGTTTGCATCCAAGACACTCTGTCCCTTCTTTGACCCAGGCATTGTTGAACTTGACCAAATTCCAAAAAGTTCCAGATATTGCTTGTTCAAAGAGGACTTGACCGGCACCAGGAAAACTGAACGGCGACTATACAAACTTTCCCCAACTGTTTCAATCCGCCAGATCTGTTTCTATCGTCAGAAACTGTCATCCAAAGTCTAATAAACCGGTAATGCCCAGCTCTCGCTACGCTCGGGCCCACGCTGTTCTTAGATTTCTCAGAAACGCTTAGTAACAACGGACGAAAAAACCAAAACACCAATTGTTGACTTGAGTATTATGTATTGTTACACCAGCATATAAATCAAGTATCACTAAGCAAACTAAGGTCTGTAAACAAATATTACAATAATAAATCGTTATGTTACTTCTGACGATGTTTCAATCTTCTTTCTGAACAGCGACCGATGAGACGATGACTGTCGTATTGATGCTTCCGCGAAAATCGAGGAAGTTGATTTTGAGCAAACAACCAAGAATTGATCGTTCAATCTTCAACTCCATTGACAGGAGGTGATATGTATCCACATATATATATGTATGTGTGTGTGCATGTTGGTCTCTCTTTCTGTTTGTTCGGTTAGTCTGTGACCACTTCACTTGTATGGACTTGTCTCCTTTAACAATGTATATTCCATATTATATTATATATAATATGAGTGTTTGTTGACAGTCCGTTGCTTGGTGGCATATATCCATATATGTTTGTTGGCATGTCTGCTATATTCGCTATGTATAATTGGATCGACACTCCATTATAATTAGCCATTCATGTTAAGACTGTCTAATGATTTTTCCCACGCTTGTCTGAATTATTTATATATATTCGCATCCACAATTTGTGTGAACTACTTTACTTTACAACTACTTGACTTGCTTACCACTTTGGTGTGAGACCATTTATTTTCGTCTCCTTGTGTTTGGACAATAGAAGTATCATCGCAAACCTAGTGGTCTTCTGATTTCCGCCTTCTCGCGTCAGGACTATTAGTTTCTCGACCAGTCCATAACAATAATTTAGCGACGAGTACATAACAATTTGGCGACGGGGAAAACTAGAACATAACAATTTGGCGACGGGGAAAAACTACTATTAACCACACAGCAGCAACAACATAACAATTTACTATGGATCCTATTAAATTGGAATTATTGTTTGAACGACAAATGAAATTAATGGAAATGTTCGTCAACCAACAGACTGGTCCAGCTCCACCTTCAAGCAATCCCAATCATACCATGCTACCATCTGTCGACGGAATTGTGAACAGCATTTCACAGTTCAATTATGACCCAGAGGCTAATGTCACTTTTGACACATGGTATCGACGTTATGAGGATTTATTCACTGTTGATCTCGCCTCACAAGACGATGCCTGGAAGGTGCGAGTTTTGTTACGTAAATTGGGTCCGGCAGAATATGAACGGTACTGCAACCTAATTTTACCACAGAAACCACGTGACAATTGTTTCGATGATACAATAAAGTTGCTGCGTGAACATTTCGGAGACCACTCCTCATTATTCAGTATACGTTATCGTTGCCTCAAGCTGGCAATGAATGAAAATGATGATTTTCTTACTCACGTTGGCACAGTCAACCGAGAATGTGAGAGATTTCGACTCAGGTCCTTAACAGATGATCAATTCAAAGCCTTGATTCTCATATGCAGTCTTCAATCTCCTCGTTTCACAGATATCCGAACTCGACTGCTCAATCAGCTAGAACAAAATCCCAAGTTAACATTACATGACATAGCTGATGAATATCAACGGCTGATTAATCTGCAGAAAGACACACACCTGGTCGAATCAACACCTCCGAGAAGCTCTGATATTCGTGCATTACGCAAGAGCAAAAATCTCTCATCAGCTACTCCTGACCCACCTACTTCTCTAATGTTCCGCGGAAATCTACACATACTCGTCCAACTTCACAAAATACTGCAAAGAAGACCCCTCCATCACCATGCTGGCATTGTGGCGCGTGGCACTTTGTAAAGTCTTGTCCATACAAAAATCATCGTTGCAGCAAGTGCAAGATCATCGGTCACAAAAATGGTTTTTGTCAGCCACGCAACCCAGATATCAAAATCCAGCAAAAGCTCGACAAAATGTTGGTCCTAAATCCCCCAAAAAGTCATTGAGTCTACGCGCAACCCGTCAAGTCACATCACCAGCTATGCGGAAATATCTTGATCTTCAGATGAATGGTCATGATGCACGCCTGCAGTTAGATACCGCCTCTGATACTACTGTTATATCAGAGAAACTTTGGAATTATATTGGCAGACCACCTATCACCAATACTTCCCAGTCTCTTGTCAGCGCCTGTGGTGGGCGGCTCAAACTAATTGGTGAACTCAAATGCTCTGTTTCCTTCCGCAATACCAAATTCACAGGAATTTGTTACGTCACGAAGAATGATTTAAATGTTTTGGGACTTGATTGGTTCGATCGTTTGCATCTGGCTGATGTCCCACTAAATTCTCTACGCAATACAGTCAAGAAGCATAAAATGCTAGACAATTCTGGACGGAGCCGAAGCCGCAAACCCAACAATCAGACGAAACGACAGGCGTCAACAACAAGCCCAAAGGTCCCAGATAAACCCCCAGGTAAACATCCTACTAACCATCCATCTTCTCAAAAGGGGAGGTGATATGTATCCACATATATATATGTATGTGTGTGTGCATGTTGGTCTCTCTTTCTGTTTGTTCGGTTAGTCTGTGACCACTTCACTTGTATGGACTTGTCTCCTTTAACAATGTATATTCTCATTTTATTATATTATATATAATATGAGTGTTTGTTGACATTCCGTTGCTTGGTGGCATATATCCATATATGTTTGTTGGCATGTCTGCTATATTCGCTATGTATAATTGGATCGACACTCCATTATAATTAGCCATTCATGTTAAGACTGTCTAATGATTTTTCCCACGCTTGTCTGAATTATTTATATATATTCGCATCCACAATTTGTGTGAACTACTTTACTTTACAACTACTTGACTTGCTTACCACTTTGGTGTGAGACCATTTATTTTCGTCTCCTTGTGTTTGGACAATAGAAGTATCATCGCAAACCTAGTGGTCTTCTGATTTCCGCCTTCTCGCGTCAGGACTATTAGTTTCTCGACCAGTCCATAACAATAATTTAGCGACGAGTACATAACAAAGCGTATACTTGAGTGGCGATCTATAATATAAAAGAGACTTGAACGAAGTGACTCGTCCGCAGTCATCACGCGCCAGCTTACAAATTTCAAGACTCCATGGATGAGTGTACCTTTGGGCACTGGCACCATTAGGTCTGCATTAGCGGAGAAATTAGGATTATAAACTTTGAGACTTTCATAACCTATTCCTAGACAATGCAAACGAACTAGTGCGAAAGGTAGGTGCGTGATAATGGAATGGATTTTTGGCTGTCATCCCCTTCCTAATACTACACAACTAATAAGATTTGTTGATGTGAGTTATTGCCTCCAAACTTGATGACTCATTGGTTGAAGGAGAGGTATTTTTGTCATGGTGATAAACGATAGATAATACTACTTTAATACCCGTGTTGTACGTAGTAGCTTCTACATCTCCATCGACTGTCTTGCCAAGTCCTCTAAGAGTAAACTGCGAAAGAGCGGTAGGATTCCTCGCACAGTCCAAGGCAGCATTCACAACCAGAATTGTGGAGGATAATTGTAGCAAGTCTTGGAATTGGCGAATATGTATGTTTTCCGATGAAGCGTTTAGATGGACATAAGATCGTCCCCTTGACTACATCTGTCTTAGACAATAAGTGGATTACCTGCTACAGAACAATCTCAATTTGTTCTTCAACTGTTAGAATTCGAAAAAAATAAACAGAAAAATGACAAAATAAGCTTCAAAAGTGATTTTTTCTCACAATTAATAGTTTTACACATGCCAATGTATGGTTAAACTCTAAAAACAAAGGTACACACTTAACTTCTAATAGTGTATGGCTTAGACTACATGGTGTTGTCTTGGAATATTCAGAAGAAATTAACTGAATCAGGATAAAGTTTATTTCTACCAATAATAATAAGACAATTGCAGCACGTCGGGTGTGAGGAAAATACTCGCCGAAGATATTGGCTAGCGGTTGCGCTATATCATGAATTGGCAGAAGTTAGAATTCATGGGCCACTGGATTGGGTCCCAGTGGTTTAATGGTATACGAGCTCGCCGTGTAACCAGAAGGTCCTGGGTTCGAATCCCGGCGGGTACGTACTTCTGAAGAGCCCCAAACTAGGACGAAACAGGCGCCCCAGGTTTTCCAATGGTTCTCTAACTAATGTCAGCTCATGATGAAATCCTGAAACCAATCAAATCCCTACAAACCAATACTTGAATAATAAGACAATTGTAAAAGCGTCAACCTAAGATTCACAAGCCGGACGATAAAATATCTACAAATCACCGATGAAAATAAATCTTACTATGCGTTTTTACCAATTTTTCTCTATAAGATTCTTCACATATCATCATAGATACTACTGAATCGAGATGTATTGTTAGACGTCTTCAGAATAGTCCTCTATATACTACAATTTAAAGTGAAAATTTACACATACAAATTAGTAAGGAAGAGGTGATTCTTTTCACTCAGTGGTTTGTGAAATTTTTTGGAGAGTGAAGAAGTATTTTTATGCGTGATAAACAGAAGTAAACTGCTAACATGAATGAAACATAACGCATTCTTAGTGTAATTTAGGTATCTTATGGAAAATTCCCATTGTAACATTTAGAAAATCAAAACAAGTGATTCAGCGAAGAGACTCTTTTCAACGAATTTATCATCAAGCTGTACAGTCGTATATATATGGTTTTTAAGAAGTTATATCCGGTAAGGGAATTGAATCTTAGGTGTGAATGCATAAAATAATAATAATCATATGAAGTTCAATTAAAACTAAAATGTCTGTGATTATAATCGTAGTTAAATGTCAAGTGGCAAAGCAAATTAATGTCATATATAGAATAATTCATAGGAGGGATAGAACTTGAAAAAGGATGTGCAGGTATAGGATTAGTAGACAAATCGAATAAAACAAAAACGTTACGTAATATTGTGTGAAATTTAATAGCATAGAATTTATCGTTGTAAAAAAAGAATTGATTTAGAATGACAAGTGGAACAAGTATTTACAGGTATTTACACACGTTAATTTTTCGGTATGTGTACATACTAACAAGAGTTCAAAGACTGAGGTGTAAACTCATCAGTGAACTCTCAAGTCCATAATATAAAGTGAGGATTGATATACTAGATTCATTCCCACTATCCTATCGGTGGATAAGAAGAGACATAATGTAGATACTCAGTATCTTACATAGGATTTCAATGTTAATTTTTATACTTATTCCATCCTTCCAAGGACTAGGTGCATATCACTTTCAAGTTCAAAATCCTAGATCATATAACCTGGTCTTTTCTATCATGAAGGCGTGGAACCCTCTAGTGAAGCACGACGTTTCAACTCTGTTTATTGATTTATTCAGAGCAAAATCTCACCCCTAATAAAAAGCATATACAAAGGATTAACATGTACATAAAGCCTTTATTTTTACTAGTCTGAAAATTGACAGATAGTTTCTGAAATTATTTTACAAATCTATTGAATGCAATAGCAGTAATATTAGATATGAGTGGGAATTCTATGGCGTGTGTTGACAGGATTTATCAGTAGTATATAAGGGGATACAAAAATATCAAAAAGCGGAAAGTTAGATTTGATGTCAAAGAGAGCAAATTAACTATTGTTGTGGGGAAACATGAGAGACACGAAAAGAAGCACACACTACGAAAGGCAGAAGTAGTACAACACAAAAGATCTGTGCAAATGACGATTTTCATATAAGGTGTACATAATTTCGCTATATAGAGAAACGAAATTCCAAGTAAACATTCCATCACCAAGTCTCTTATCTTTCGCCGTTACTATTACATCTAGTATTATTCTTGTTATGCAACGCCCCATTCCCTGTCTTCAAGTATGCTTAAAATTACCCACTTGTGCTAATTTCATTCTGTAGGCCATTTCTATAAAATCTGGAGATTCGATGAATAAAATCTCTTACCACAGCACAGTATAAAAAAGCGGTTAGCAATAATCAGCTCTATTTAGAAATTATGTGCTGAAGTCGTCTCACAGAAAACTGTTTATCTATAATATTTAAAGTGTGGTTTTAATCTTCCTAAGTTCTTTTTACACCCTCCATTAAAACTTTATTCACATTAACCAGGATTTAAGACAATTTGTTCCCATCGGTTTGACGCAATAACCTCTTTTCATTATTCCACAGACACCGAAAAGCTGATCAATTAACCTCTGAAGTTACAGAATAAAGAAGTCATTTAATTCAACTAAACTGAAAGTCAGTTATTTTCTTTAAAAACATACTTATCTTGTATCAAAAACATAGTCACAATACAATAAACGTAGAGGTAAAATAAAAATTAAAAAACAGTAAACGAACATTTAAAAACAAAATAAGGCCAAAGTAACCCGTTAGTCTTAAACAATGTGAAAAGAATGAGAGAAAAATATAAAAATTCAAGAAGTTATCACAGCCCATAAGCATAGAACAGGAACTAGAGTTACATAAAAAATAGCAGAATAAAGCATTTTTGGCGTGAAAACTGTCCAGATGAATAAGTGTGATTGTAGAAAGAAACAATATGTGCCACACAGTGTGATAGGCAAAATAATGAAGCCTAAAACAAGACAGTTAAATTTTTCACCGAAATGTTTATGTCCAGGTAGGACAAATCGACAGAAATAGGCTAACTGCCAGATTAATGGTCCTGAATAAGTGTAAAAGGCTAGTAGTAGGCCAGCTATGAATGGTTGATGATGCCGAAGACCAACATATGCAGCAGACAAATCGACAGTTGACAAACTTAAGGAATTCCCCTGAGACAATAGAACATTAATACAATAGATTTATTTAAGAAAAGTAGCATAAATCATAAACAGAAGAAAAATACGACTAGTAAATAAAATACTGAAAATAAGAATAAAACAAACCTGTCCACTAAGCAGAGTTTAGGTAACGTTGTAAAAATGTTTTTCAACATGTCTGTTACCTGTTTTTGCCTGTTGCATTGAACAATTATCACCACTACAGGTTTAAATGTAACTGACTAGTGAATAGGCTTATCCAATAGTTGAAATAATATGAAAATATAAATTAATACGACTATAAACGGTAATCAGGTAGGAACCAGTCAGAATCTGTTTGACTAAAACAATGCTTACACCTTGAGTGTAACATTTTCTTTTCGACAGTAATCAATGAATACAAAGGATGAAAAGTACTCTAGGCAGATATATGAAGATGTAACCTTGAATATGTTTTAATGACCAGATAGTGAAATTGATTCAGCTGGTCAACTGATAAGATAAAGTGATCATTCTTTTCACCTGCGATTCTTTAGTATTTTTTTTTAAATTATGCAACCATTAAGTGACAAATTCTAATTGTCACATTGGGTTATTCTAATAGTATCTGAACATTAAAAATAAGAACTCAACTAGATTCAGCGAATCTACAGTTTACAGGACGTCTGCAGTCTGTGTGTTGAACTTACGATGTGGTATTTCAATTTCAGCAAATGAGAAATGATCGAAAATAGCTATCCCGAAAAATTTATCAAGAAACACATGACAAAGAAAGCGAAAAAGGACTACTCAATATCCGTAAACAGGAAGCCTCTTTATGTACGACTGCAATTCAAGGGTGATCGATATACCAAGTGAGATAGTTACGAAGAAATTAAAAAAATCAGTTCAAAGAGCTTTTAATGCTGGCGAACTACACGTCTTATTCTCTACATGACCGATGGTGATTCCTCGACTGAAAGATGAAGTACCTAGACTAGCCAGTTCTAATTGTATCTACCAATTCAACTGCGCTTGTGGAGCCAGTTATATTGGCCGTTGCTCTAGGAACTTGATTTTTCGTGCTCGAGAACATCCCCCACTATGGCTTAGTAAAGGTGCGGTGAAAACCATTAACAGTTCGATATTTGACCATCTGGTGCAAACCGGCCGACCACAAAGCCAGGTAGCCAGCGTGGAAGAATCCTTCTCTATAATCTACCGGGTGCCAAATAAATTACCAAAAACATCGAAGCACCGCAGGCTCCAAACAGCAGAGGCTATTGCGATTCGCCTCAAACAACCAGCGCTTTGTATCCAAAAAAGCAAGTCCAGCTCCTACTATTGTCCTGGCTTTCAGTAGAAACTATAAACTCATGAATTTGTAATATTATCCTTCCTAATTCTTCTGACATTCAGCTTATTTTATGTTGATGCAATTCAGCTGTAATCTATCAATATTATTGATTTGATGTTACTTAAACATTAATGTTGTCCATAACACTAATTCATTCATTCACTATAATGTATACATAACTTTAGAGCCTGATGATGAAGTTATTGAAAAGAGTACTCTTTGTTCAGTATCCATTCTTTTGACAAACAAGTTCGCCTAAAACACAAAAATCACTTCAATCATTGAAATGAAATCACTCAACCAACCAGTAGAAATGATGTAATATGCTCCTAGTTTGAAGCCCTCGACAACACTGCACACCCCTAAAAAATTTCATTGGGGTCGTAACAATTAAATCCAATTTAATCAAAGGACATATACTCAGTATAATAAGTCAATGAAAATGGTAACAGTATTTGATGAGCGGTTGAAACAAAGTAAAACAACATGTGCATAATATTGAACTACTCCTATCTGTTAAAAATAAAATAAATTTTAGCCTAATTAGTTCAGTGTCTTAATACTATTGGTAAAAACACAGCCTCCTCTTAGCAAAACTACAATTCACTACATCGGTCATCAATCTTACATCCAGTCGACGTTTAGCTTAAGAGTAGATAAGCACCAAACGAAGAAATAAATTACTAACTCACCTGTTGAAAGAAGCTAACCCAACCTTGTGTCCAATAGATCAGCCATGAACACAATGGTAAAACATAACGAAATGTTTTATGCGATGAATGCATACCGGAATAATGAAATATTAATTGTATCATTTCAGATAGTAGTGCTTCTTTTATCCATATACCAAGCCAAAGAATTGTAACCACAGGTTTCCCCAATAAACATATAACCATAATTAATGTTGACAATGGATGTATAATTGAATCCCAAAATGTTTTTGAAGCATCTGATGTTGTTTGACCAAATAATCTACCTGTATTTTTCTCCACACGAATATTTCTTGATTTATATAGACAAAATGCATCTATAGCGCATAACACATAACAAAATCTAGCTGAGTGTACGGCTTCTTCACTGAAAGTCAAAAAAAGTATAAACAAAGCAAAGTGACATACTGATAGTGAAATAAAAAGCGATGAAAACACTGCACTCATCATCATTCACACAACAGGCACCTGATAAATCGGGAAAAACTTATTTTATTATTATTGATCCCTTGGGTTCCTAGTGGAACATAGGGATTCAACTGCACGTCTCCATTTGCTTCTGTCTTCTGCTATACTTTTCGCCTGCATCCATGTTAATCCATATTCTTTCAACTCCTTTTCACACGATCTCCTCCATGTCACCCTTGGACGTCCCACACGCCGCTTCCCTTTCGGGTTCCACTCGAGGGCTTGACGCGCGATGTCACCCAGCGGTCTCCTCAGCGAGTGTCCGATCCATCTCCACTTTCTCCTGCATATTTGTTGGGGCGATTGGTTCTTGCTTTGTTTGTTCCCATAATTCCTTGTTGGTGATTCTTTCCGGCCATCTGATCTTCAGTATAGAGCGAAGACAGTTGTTAATAAAGGTCTGCAATAGCCTGTTGGAAATATTCTTTGTGACCCTTCCAAGTTTCTGATCCGTATAGAAGAACTGACTGACTTTACGTTTGTATTGAAAATCCGAATTTTGTTGTTGATGCTGAGTGACGAAGATTTCCAGATTGATTTCAGGTTGATGAATGTGTTTCTCGCCTTCCCGATTCTCGATTTGACATCGTCGTTCGTTCCGACTCCTGTAGTTGAGACAATGCTCCCTAGATAAGTGAATGAAGTAACCTCTTTCAAATCCCTCCCGTTGATGGTGATTGACGTTGGATGTTGTTGCTGTTGTTGGTTGGTTATTTTCATAACCTCCGTCTTGTCTATGTTCACCTGGAGTCCTGTCTTCACCGGCTGCTTCTTCGACCAGTTTGTCGGTTTTCGCTTGTAAGTCTTCGATTGTGTGTGACATCAAACATAAGTCATCCACGTGCGAAATCCAGGTCTTCTAGGTTCTTCACGTCGGTCCAGGATATTCCTGTCTTCTCGTTTCCCACAGTCTGACGCATAATCCAGTCAGTCACCACAATTAGGAATATCATTGGTGATAATAAGCACCCTTGTCTGACTCCTGTGTTTACTCCAAACGCCTCGCTGAGTCTTCCGTTGTGGATCACTTGATATATCCCGTTGTCGTACAGCTGTTGAATAAGGTTGATGAATATTTGGGGTACGCCATAGTACTCGAGTAATTTCCAAATTACTTCACGATCAACGCTGTCGAAGGCCTTCTCAAAGTCTATAAAGTTGAGGTAGAGGTTTGATTGCCATTCCATGCTTTGTTCGATGATGATGCGTAGAGTTGCAATTTGGTCAGTACATGATTTGCCTTTCCTGAATCCAGCTTGTTCTGGTCGGAGTTCTGTCTCCAGTGCGTCCTTTAATCTCTCCAGGATGATGCGACTCAGGATTTTACTTGGCGTCGACAGGAGCATGATTCCTCGCCAGTTCTTGCAGAGTGAGGCCTAAGTCGCCCTTCTTTGGTAGTTTCACGAGGTAACCTTTCCTCCAGTCAGTAGGCACCTTTCCCTCCTTCCAGACCTTTTGCAATAATGGAGTCAGCATGTCTGCTGTCGTCTCTGGGTCCACTCTCAGTGCTTCAGGGGGTATTCCATCTGGTCCGGCTATTTTCCAGCTTTCAGAAGCTTGATTGCATTCAAGACTTCAGCTCTCGTTGGAGGATTGGTGTCAACTTGCAGTTGTGTGCACGCTGTTGTTGGTATTTCTGGACGGGTTGCAGGTGATGGTCGGTTCAAGAGTCCTTTGAAGTGATCCGCCCATTGTTTAATCTGTTTTTCTTCCTTGGTAATGGGCTTCCCTTGGCTGTCTTTTATAGGTTTCGCTTGTGTTGATCTCTTCCCGGATAGAGATTTGGTTATCTGATATAGTGTCCTCAGGTCCCTTTTGCCTGCTGCCTTCTCAGCTTCAGTAGCTAGATTGTCGTAGAATCGTCTTTTGTCCTTCCTAGCACTTTTCTTCACTTCTTTGTCCAATGCTTTGTAAGTTGAGCTCAGCGTCTCCTTCTCCTGTCCGTCCTTGCATTGAATCATTTTCTCTTTCACCATTCTCCTCTCTTCTATTAATTTCCAAGTGTCCGTTGAGAGCCATTCCTTGTCTTGTCTCTTCTTTCTTCCTAGAACCGTTGAACACGTTTCGTTGAGAATCGCCTTCAGAGACTTCCAATGTTCTTCCACGCATGATTCTTCAGTGCTGTCGCGTAGTGTTTCCTGCTTTGCTCTGACAGTTGCAGTGAAAGTGTCTTTTGTGGTTGTGTCCTTCAGTAATTGAGTGTTGAACTTGCATTGTGGCCTATCCCCAGCTATCCTCGAGGCTTTTAGTTTCACCTTGAAAGTCCCTTCTACTAGATAGTGGTCTGAACCCACATCTGCTCCTCTCCTTGACCTTGTGTCCAGTAGGCTCCGTCTCCACTTTCTTGAAATTGAGATGAAGTCTATTTGGTTTTTGGTGTTTCCATCTGGTGAAATCCATGTCGTCTTGTGTATATCCTTGTGTTTGAACACACTACCACCAATCACCAAATCATTGAAGGCGCAGAAGTCTGAGAAGAGTTCACCATTGTCGTTCATTTCACCGAGGGCCTCACGACCCATGGTGAGTTCTCTTCCTGTGTTGTCTCGTCCCAGCTTCGCATTCATGTCGCCCATCAGGATTTTGATATCGCCATTTGGGACGTTGTCCATTATTGCTTGTAGTTGTCTGTAGAACGCCTCCTTCTTCTCTTGTTCTGAGACGTTTGTAGGCGCATAGCATTGACATTGAATGACTGTAACTTTCCTTCCTTTTGAGTTGAACCTGGCTGTCATTATCCTGGAGGAGATTGGTTCCCACTGCATGAGAGCTTTGGTTGCTGTTGGTGACATCATGATGGCCACTCCCTCGGTGTGCTCGTGATTGTCCTCTGGGTGGCCGGAATAGATTACTGTCTCTCCAGTAGGTAGTTGGCACCTTCCAGTTCCGTTCCATCTGCTCTCGCAGATTCCCAACACTTCTATTCTGTACCTTCTCATTTCAGCGGCTATCTGGGCAGCCTTTCCAGTTTCGTACATTGTACGAACATTCCAGGTACCCATCCTTACTTTTGCTTTCATCGAAAGAAGGCACATCGGCTGACTGGCTTCCCGAAGGCTTTCACCAGCCTGCGTCATTTCACTTCCCCGATTCCAGCGAAAAATAATGTTACTGTTTATATTTTTACAATTTTTAATATATTGGTGCATTGAAGTTTCTGTAACGGTTTGGTTGAGTTTTGGGAGTGAAGTTGCTAGCACCACGCCCCAACCCTCCCTCTTTACCCGGGCTTGGGACCGGTGAGAAAACTAGCAAGCTAGTATCTGGCGAGGGAAAAACTTAAGCATATATAATAATCGTATTGAAGAAAAAGATATTTGAATGCAGAACAGGAATAAAAGTAAAGGGGGAAAAGTCAAGCAGTGCTGCAGAAATACTCCTGCTTTGATATGCTAAAGTGTAGCATTAGTAAAACTACTTGCGGATAAGATTGTTTACAAAACAAACAAAGTCTAAGATATGATTTACTTAGCATGTAAGTGCCTATATGACAAACGCACCCTCGACTCCTAGGCTACACGTTGGTAAACAGGACGAATAATGCTAATATTAAAGTTGGTTGAGACAAGGGAACAGATGAGAACAGTTACAGAACTGTTGTTGATGAGCAGGAGCCCATTCCTAACCACATGAACTGTACGACATTATTATATAACTTCTGAATCAGAAAGAATTATGATTTGGAGTGCGACCATTAACCAACTTCTGCAGACAGGGCAGATAAATAGTCACAGCGGGGGATCGCAACCAACTAAACCATGGATACTACAGAAATTCTTAACACTCACCTAGTCGCTATGAGATATACTCAGAAAACAACAGTGCGCCCTATTGTCTTAATCATCTAAGATGAAGAAGACATTTCCTTTAAATACAACTACCACTATTGTACAGCCAATTAAATAAATCTCAGTGAAGCTAGCATATCAAATAACACAGTCAGCCAATGTGTTGATAACGACAAACAATAGTTTTTTTTACTAACTAAACCACTGATATGTTCGATAAAACAGTGATGAATCATTTTTTACGAATAATCATAGTATTTAGCTGTTGAAGACACAACAGTGGTTCATTTTCAGTGTATCGGTGTGAGCGGAACAGCACACTTAATACTATGCATCTGAGATACCTGTTTTGATAGGTACTTTACATTTTCACTTTAATCAGTGTAATTATGCAACCCGATTGCAGACTATTGTTCACGTCATACTGAAAAATTATGTATCAAAACTGGTAAGTAAAGATTAATTAGGCAAATTTTCGGGTCAAGTATTCAAATAAAGGACTTCAGGTGAACACAGAGAAAATGGATATGATGAAGGTACCAATCACCATTAACATGACATTGTTTCAACTACAGGCAACACAAATGAGCATGTCAAAGGTAGGACAGACAGTTATTAGTCTCAAATCAATAAATGGAAACCTACTGTACTCAAGTATACGAGGCAAGAGTCAAATTTTCAACACTACTAATATCAAGCTAGTGATTCTGTATGGTTGAGAGACTCAATGTTAGTATGCCCAACATATTGTTGTGGACTTTCGTCAACACTTGCCTTCACTGGCTCGATAGCCAGGGCTATATGGTTAACCAGAAAGGATGAGCAATAAATAACTTTGGCAGACAATGTACCAGACGAAGACCTATTACCTAACAAGGATATGCGAACACCCAAATGCTTTACTCGCCAGACAGGCTTTTGAGTGGATTCAGAAATGGGAGTAACAGAGTGGGTGTTCCAGGGTGATGTGGAGAGGCTCATGAAAAGGTGAAATGAAAGCCAGTTAAAGCAGACAGCAGAGAACTGAATACAATAGAAACGTGCTGCTGTAGCCCTATATTCCATCTGGAACTCAAAAGAATAATAACAATAATTCAATTATAGCTTACTTTTCATTTTCAGCTACAGCTAATTTATATGACAGTTGATTACAAACTAGAAAAATGCTAACTGGTATCGGTATGTAATACTTGCATTTATTCCAAATAGAGCAAGTTGGACGTAAACGAAATAGTGCTTTGCAACGAAGTACTAGGAATGTAATCCATGCTATTAACAGCCACAACCACAACCAACCGATATTTTCAGGTCTAAAATTAAAAATTAAGAAACACAAATATGTGTTTACACAACTTCATTCAGCAAAATGTGATAAAATGTAGGATGGTGATAGAACAGATAAATACAAAACACTTATTGGTGGGCTTAATAGACTATCTAATCTACAGATAAATTAAACATAATAATCAATAACAAGCGTCTGGAGTGCTTACTGCTCTGATCTCCATCAAAGTTTGCATTTCAGTTATGATACTTAATATCACTTGTTTTAAATAATCGACGGTATTAATTAAAATATCTTTTTCTATTGGAATGTTCTACAAAAATTCATGCGGCTATAATTGTACAACACGAATTGAAACAGTGAAAGGTATATTACAACCTTTCCTTTGCACAAAGTCCCTAATGAAGTTATTTTGTAGCATTCCGTATCCCAAAATTAACCCTCAGAATAACCACAAGTTAACTGGTGGATGGTGACTAGCAATGGAATCCAAGATGCACATTTTGTCTTATTTGGGACTCATCATCTGGATGTACTTGCATTCTACTTGAAATTAAACGACATACGTATAACTATCCGTATACAAACCAATGCATCATTAAAATTTGTAGCACACCTACATCAGCACTATGCAGTATAGGCAGGTTTATGAGTGAAGGTGTCCAAAAAGCTTGTTGAGTCTAATGAATTCTAGGTCACTGGAAATAAAAGTAGCGACAACTGAATTATATGTAATTCCTCATCTTTCATGCATCTTTATTTTACTGGATACTTATGGGGTTCAACTCTGTTATTGCCAAGCATAAAGTGTTACTCAGTAACACACGACAAAATGGGGATGACCAATGTTTAAAAATGTCTCATCCATAAACACTGGAATAACTTATATGAAAACAGGAATCCATCCAGCATGTGTATAAGCTATAAGCTAAACACTTAAATCTACTTAAAAAACAAAAGATTTTAGAATAAAGAGACAACTGTGTATTTACATCTCAATAAGATGGGAGCAGCTAAGAATCACTTTTGTTTAAATGTACCGGACTGATTTTATAATAAACTACGGCACTATTAGAACAGAAACAGTGAACTTGGAATAGTTTGCAATCCATTAACTTTTAAAAAGTGCCTATTCTTCAATTCTTTTAGTAAATACACTATGGAACAAACTGAGATTCAGCTAATTAGTCAATCACGCTGCAATTTTCTTAAAATTAATTTTTGTTATTGTTCTCTGCCGTCCTCTTCAGCTGGGTCCACGACTGACCAAACTCTCTCATCTCCTCTTCACACGATCTCCTCCATTTCACCCTCGGACGATCCACTCGCCACTTTCCATTTGGATTTTACCCGAGCAATGGCCTGCATTGCGCGCGATGTCATGTGGCGGCCTCCTCAATATATGCCCAATCCATCTCCACTTTCTCCAACATATTTGTTCAGCGATCAGTTCTTGGTTGGGTTGTTCCCATAGTTTTTTGTCGCTTATTCTTTCTGGCAATTCGATCTTCAGGATGGAGACAGCAAAGGCAGCTGCTGAAGTGTGGTGAGAGCTGTCTGCTAGCCAAAATTGGTAGACAGGAATTTACGTCGATGTTTGCTTCCCAAATCTTAGTCATGAAAAAAAAACAAAAATAAAGACTTCGCATGGGCGGATACGATTTGCAGATATACGGTATGACCTTTAAATAAACGGCCACAAAGAGATGACAGGTTAACTTCCAGTGAGAAAACGACCAATCACAAAAGACGCTGTTTCTCTGCTAACAATAACTCATAATAATGTACATAGAAATCTACAAATGTCTGTTGATTTTTTCGATAAACGACCTGTTGGCTGGCCCTTGTCTTCTGTCGTTACAGATGAAAGTCTGCAACCTGTTGGAAATGCTTTCCGTGACTGACACACAGTGCAAGTTTCTGACCCGTATAGATGAACCGACTTTACACAGGTGTTGAAAATCCAAATCTTGCTCCTTATGCTGAGTGCAGAAGATTTTCAAACTGGCTTCAGGTTGATGAAAGCGTATCTTACCATTCTGATTCTGCCGATTTTGACATATTCGTCCGTTCCGCCTGTAGTTGAAACGATGCTTCCCAGATAAATGCAGGAGGCAACCGTTGATGGTGATTGGCTGTGGTTATTGTTGCTGTCACTGTCGGTTGGTTATCTTCATCACCTCCATCTTCTCTGTGTTCACATGCAGTCGTGTTTTCTCTGCCAGTCTCCTGCAAGTCTTCGAGTTTGTGTGATATTAGACATATGTCATCCACACGCGAAATCCAAATCTCCTAGAGTCTTCTTATCGGTCGTCCAGCGTATTCCTGACTCCTTGCCTCCAACAGTCTGACACATAATCCAGTCCACCATAATTAAGAATATCATCGGCGATAATAGACAGCCAGCTTGTCTTACTCCTGAGTGCATTTCGAACACCTCGCCGAGTTTTCCGTTGTAGATCACTTGACACGTGGCATTGTCATATAGCTGTTTAATAAGGTTGAAAAAGACTTGGGCACTGCACGCCGTAGTGTTGAAGAGGTTTCCGAATTACTTCTCGGTCGACGCTGTCGAAGATCTTTTTGAAGCCAATGAAGTTGAGGTGAAGGTTTGACTAGCACTGTGTGCCTTTTTCGATGACGATGCGCAGAGTTGAAATTTGATCAGCACATAATTTGCCTTTCCTGAATCCAACTTGTTCCGGTGGGGCTGGCAGAGTTCTGCACCCAGTGCATCTTTTATTCCCTCCAGGATGATGCGATTTAGTATTTTACTTGACATGGACTAGAGCATTATTCCACACAGGTTCTTACAGAGTGAGGCGCGAGTTACCCTTCTTTGGCAGTTTTAAGAGGTAGCCCTTCTTCTTACAATCAGTAAGCACCTTTCCTTCTTTGCAAACTTTTTGCGGTAATGGAGTGAGAACATCTGCCATATTCTCTGGGGCCGTATTAAATACTTTTGGAAAAATATTGTCTGGTCCTGCTGACTTCCCGGACTTCAGTAGCTTGATCGCATTCAAAATTTCTTCTTTCGTTGAGGAGCGGTGTCTACTGGCATTTCCATGTGTGCTGTTAGTGGTTCTGGGCGAGTTGCAGGTGGTGATCGATTCATTAGTTCATTATAGTGATCAGCCCCTTGTTTAATTTGTTTCTCCTCCTTGGTGATCAGGTTCCCTCCGGCATCTTTTATTGGTTTCATCATCTGGGTTGATCTCTTCCCAGATAGACTTGGTTATCTGATATAGTGTCCTGAGGTCTTTTTTGCCTGCAGCCTGCGGCTTTTTCTGCTTCAGTTACAAGACAGTGTGTCGCAGAATTGTCTTTCGTCTTTCCAAGCAATCTTCTTCACGCCTGTCTTGATTCAGTGCGGTGTACATTGAACTCAGCCTCTCCTCCTGTTGTCCATCTTTGCATTGAGTCATCTGGTCAATTAATTTATCTTATGGTTGTACAACAAAATTTACTTGCATGGATATAGTTTCAGATGACGCGCACTAGAATGAGAGTAATTGTATGATGTCCAACAAAACAAATCATTTTAACAGTTTAACAGTTCGCTTTTGTTTTTCCATGATTTATCATGAAGTTGTAGTATGGTACCCGTGTGTTTAATTAACCCAACAATGAAAATATATTTAAAAGAAAGCAAGAATTTAAGTCAAATTTACCAGTTTTTATCGATAAAATGGATTTTTATGTCTTGTCTAGCTTTTCTTGATGTCAAGTTAAGTTGGCGAGCAATCTTAACACAACTACTTTGATGTATCACTGTCGCAAATTTTATATTATTAACTTAGACAACTAACTTGTATGAAAATAAATAACTACTGAGCAGAAGAAAATATCAAAAGATGTGATTCACTTCACTACTGAACAGTATTTGTAAACAAACTCTTAATTGAACTAGGCACTTACTGAAACACCATACTTCTAAAAAAAAGTGTTGAAGTGTTGACTTATAAGATTGACTGATAGAAACCTCTTCTATATTTACTTTAGTTTTCTATTCAACTGCTGCTTTCTCTGTTTTACACAGAGAAAATAATCTACGTATACACTGCAAAGATAAACTAAGCAATTCAATAATTTTAATTCTTGCCACCAAGATGTACAGGTAATTACATTGGAATATTAGACTATCAAATTATGTTAATGTGGTGAAGAACAGTGAGGAAGAATTGTTTTCTCGTTTACTTCAGTGTCATTTATTAGTTCACGTTTTAACAAGTTCTCAAAAGTCTTTTTGCTATTAAAAACACACCATAGAGTCTACAAAATAAGAAAATCATTTTCTGATTGCAATCATATATATATATATATATATATATATATATTGAAAGAGAGAGAACAGACAGACAGATAGTTATGGATTATAGCTAAAAGAAACTAAGCATAGGTGGTTTTGTGATAGAATACTCTCCAACCACGCAAGCGGTCCGGCGTTCGATCTTGGGCTGACGCGCTCTCTAAACTCACTTAGCAGGTAATGAGCACGGTAGACAGAAACGTTTGACACACGAGGCTAGCAACCTCAGCCCGTTAAAAATAAACACTACTGCTATTAAAAGTTTGAACCTCAAGCTTTACTCGGAAGGCAAAGGATGAAGATGAATTAATAAAAAAGTGAAATTAAGCTGAACGCTATTAGCAGTTCAACAGAGCCTATATCTGCATACATATTTTGCCAGTGAGAACAGAATGACAATTTTGTTTCATCGAAAAAACAAACGATAGACAGAACAAATGAATGTTTATGTAGATATGATAGCGAATAATTTAGGCGGAATTCGTAAGTGTTTCAGTAGTTTTTTTTTCTGTTCATGCAATCTAGGATTTTGTTGGCAGTACATTTTTCGACTTCAATGTCCAGTTGTTATCTTAAGTGTTAATCTACGCTGAAGTGAATCCATTTCCCATCTTCCTTAATTATAATATGGAAATCAGTGGACAATTAGTCAATACTCCTCAATCTTTTAGCATGAAAATTTTCACATTAGTGGTGTGGCATGTACTACTTATAAGTAGTTAAGAGTAGTGTATCAAGTGATAAATTGTGTATCAGGGGAAAAACCCATGAAGAACAAGCACCATATGAAGAACATTATCATAAACAAACATTCACAAGATTGTCATTTGCAAAGTGTGATACTAGTGTAGCATTCGTAATTTCACTAATATCCATTTGTTCTGACCAAAATTATTTTTACCCGTATCGAAATTGTTCAGTTATACTGGTATGGCTGCTTTTGCTGATGATGGAGGTGGCTTAATCAGAGTTCTTTGAAAAGGTAGATATGGAGAAACCTAATCCACATGCTACTTATATCCATTTATGAGTAACTCATCAAACTGCTAGTAGTATTAGTATTACAGGATTTCATTATGAGCTGACATTAGTTAGAGAACCATTGGAAAACCTGGGAGTACTGGACAGCTGTTTCGTTCTAGTTTGGGACTCTTCATCAGTACGCACCCATCGGGGTTCGAACTCAGGACCTTCTGGTTACAAGGCGAGCTCGTATACCATTAAGCCACTGGGACCGGAATCAATGGCCCATGAACTTTAACTTTTGCCAATTTACGTTAGAAGGTCCTGGGTTCGAACCCTGGTGGTTGCGTAATGGTGAAGCGCCCAAAACTAGGACGAAACAGCTGTCCAGTATCCCCAGGTTTTCCAATAGTCCTCTAACCAATGTCAGCTCATGATGAAATCCTGTAACAAGTCAAATCCCTACAAACCAACACTTGAGTATTAAAACAATTAGTATTAAAAAGATATATAAATGACTTACTCATATAACCAATCAGATATATCTCGTAAGTGTATCCATTTATTACCAGTTCGATGAAGTTGACGCAGTAGAAAACGATCTAAGAGAAGTATCTTCAAGATTAATTTTATTATAATCCATTTAATATTTGAAGTGACATCGCCGAGAAGAACTAACAAACCGATTAACAGCATAAGACTTGAACCAAAATAATACCATAATTGATGCTCTTCTTCAGCATAACTACTTGATGCTAAACTAATGGAATGCAGCAGTAAACAGACGGTGCCGAAACTGCAAATAATTTGTACTAAACGCGGATCAAATGAATACCTGATATCAGCTGTATCAGAATAATAATATTGAATCAGGGATTTTTGATTCTGAAAAGTAATAACAATAATCATAGCAAAGAGGAAACGATATAAAGATAGAATGTAATAGTTGTATGATACTGGACAAGAATATTAAGTGATTCGTTAGTTCTCGTATCAGCTGTTGTCAATAGACCGGCGAATCTACATAATTAAGCTGAACGATAGAATGTGTGAAAAAATTAAAACAGTATAACGAATTCATTATATTTCATCGACACTAATTTACTCAATAGTAAATCCTATTACTTGAAGTAACCATTCTTTTGAAATCCGAACTTTGTGTCATTCATATTTTGAAAGTAAAAAGAAAGTTTAGCTGTTAGATTACTATATTAACAGTCAGCATATATGCAATATCCTACTTTATGACTGAGATGCAGTCGATGGAAACTAAGGACTTGTAGTAGAATCATGCAGTGAAAGATTTTCAGACCAAGGAGTGTATGTCAGTCAACTAAGTTGTTAAAAGTCAACGGTAGGTGTAGTGAGAACATGCATAATGCATGCCAACCGATGTCTGCTGAAGCAGATTAAGATTGAAAAAAAGTTAGGCGTGATCAGATCTAAACGTGTAAGCAGTTTACTAAGTTTCCAAGTATTAGTTTACGCCAAATTAAAAAAACAAAACTCCACAATGCCTGGCTAGGATTCTTGGGAGAATATCAGCGAGACTTTTGGCAATTCTTAACAATGACCCAGATTTATTCATCGTCTATGATCTTCAACAATTTCACGGTCTGAATTATTTTAAAATTAATAAAAACGAAATTCACCGCTTTAACTTAGTCATGAAAATTACTTAAATATAAGTTGAGGGGATCGTTGATTGATAACATACACCTTGAGTGAAACTAGAGTGGGAAACGATAAGTTAGACATCAGCCGTTGACATGAAAAAGATCATGTGACGAGGAGATGAGTATTTGTGGGCAATCGTGTGGCCAGCTAAAAATGATTGCAGTGAATAGGATGAAATGAGATGTGCTACGGAAGGCCAATGTTTCAGTCGGAATCCAAGGGAATAATGATGAACTTATAGACCTATTTTTTTCATCTTTCTTAATGTTTTGAAAAGTGGAACTTATTTTGTCAGTCACTTCAACGAGTAACAATCAATTTAATTGAAACAGCACTCGATTCAGATCAGTTTTAACAACTACACAGTGTTTATACATGTAATACATAAAAACAGATAAGACATGTTGCTTAGCTATTCAAGTAGAGTAGAGCAAATATGTTAAAATTCTAGTTCACTCATAGTCATGTGCTTGAATAGCTTAACAGCAGGTTTTATTTCACCAACCTATAAAAAGTATGTTACAGGCTATTATGGAATATTATCTGTACTATGACAGTTGTATGCTGACAAAGCAGTAATCGGATTAGTCAAAATTCATTTGCTCACGGTAGGCTAATTTTCTAAACACAAGTGTAATGAATTGCCACCTTGGAAATAATGACTCATTGATTTAATCACTCTACATTCAGGTAATGGGTGTCAATTCCGAGCCCTGCTCCATATACTCTGGTCCAAACGACTGGTGAGTATCATCGGCTCTAACAAATACGTGTGCCCTCATAGCTAGAGACATCCTAAATCTGTCCGATGTATTTAAATTCTAAGTAACCCATAAAGTGCTGTTAAAAACTGTTTATGTATTCATCGAGCAAGCCAATTTAAACTTTAAATTACTTCCATTATAGACTAGTAGTAAGTGGTAAATTATGAAAGAATTCAGTGAAGCTGAACAAATGACTCGCTTTATTTTCGGACGCCTTGGCTATATCAAGTTGTACAGTTAAGCGAACCATACTCGATGAGGATAAAAAGAACCAAAGACGTCACATTCGAAAGTGTAAATCAGATTGTTTAAATATATGTGTCCAATTCAGTATAAGTCGGTTAACTAAGTCCGCAGCCCACTACAATCTCTACTTACAAAAAGATGTAAATTCCAAGAGATGTATCAGTTTTTCTTATGTAGTAGGTCAAACGATAAATCCACTGGACTCAATTTTCAGCATAATACCATCAATATTACACGACACATGGGACTGAAGTAGTCTATACAAGTCTGGCTCGAGCCTAAAGCCAAAATTAATAATTTGACATTTAGCTGAATTTCATAATTTGAATTATTTGACAATAAGCACTGGTTAACACATTAGACAAGAAACTATTTATCTTGTAAAGACTAAGTGGAAGAGACTTCCAAGCTTTCAGTAAACTTAATGAAATTAGATCATGGGAAAAAACAAAAAGATGATTGCAGTGAAGAAAACTTTTTTTCCTTCACAACGCAGCCATTAACTGGGCTGAAAATATTCATAAACATATTATAAAGGGGTTGTTGTACTTTGAAATTCTGACTGGCAACAGTTCCGGAACTTTCTCACCCGATAGTTATGCATTCACGGGCAAGTTAGCGACTTCGGTCAAGAAAGATTTTTTTCTTTCTGCAACCATCTTTTAATGCAGTTAACTTTAGAAACATAAGATGATTAGTGTCAAAAGAAAAGAAAAGAGGAAAGACATCAACTTGATATACATTTGCTTCAGCAGTACTGCATCCACCCCGAAAACTAAGAGAACAACTGGTTTATCGCCCACTGTTCAATATGTGTTGTGCTAAGCTTATCTAGTGGAGGTTGAGAGCAGTAGTATAACATGGGAAGACGCAGAGAACGTACTTGGTTTCATTTTTCTATTTTATGGTGAAAAACAGTAGTTGCATCCAAAGGAATTCTCGTGTATTTTAATGTGAATTGTTTGAGATTACTGAAGGACTTTACTGAAAACTAAAGTGTTAGGAAAAGTAATTTTTGCACTGTTTTCAAAAAAGGGACATACTGGCAACAAGCCGAAACCATAAGCTTCATCTAGAAGGTGCAGAGTTGCGTACAGGTAAGCATTTGATTTCTTTCAAACATGGGAGTAGTTTATTTTTGTAAAATAATGTATTAAAGAGACAAGAGTAAGTGTACGCACATATTGTGAATTTAATACTTGGCTCTCTTTTAAGAGCAGACATTAGAACTCGAACATGAATCACTACTACTTATATACTTCTTACAAGTTCTTCACTTAATTTCCTATGACAGAAACTTTCGAGTATGTATTGTATTCCGAGGTTATAATTCAGACCATATTTAAAAAAGTCCAGTCGATTAACACCAGTTATCAATCTGCGTACAGGCCTCTTTTTGATTGGTAGAGAATACTTGTCAAGTCTCAGCGTCATTATCACCTACCACGTCGCTCTTGTCGACCACTTAGTATACGTGAAACTGCCTAGTCATAATGATAGACATCCTTCATCTCTAAATAATGATAGCTTAAGCAATTCAGTCTAAATTTAGCGATACGAGGGTTCTATAACTAATATGTAGATAACTTAGGCTAGCATTTAATGACTTTACGGATTGCTGTTGTAGTTTGCTTCGGTGAATATTGAAGCTTCCATGTAATCCAGCCTGCTGTCAGTTCAGCTATAACTAACACTCACTGTAGTGATAGGCAGTAATTGAACGGTGTCTGTTACCTCTCTAGAACAATTAAATTAACGCTGATCTATTTCTGTAGCACTAGCATACACGAGGTATCCAATAAAACTTACACTTCACCTACACATAACATGATTTATTTTTAAAGAATACCTTGTGTGTTATAACTTGAGGTTTTGACTAGAAGACATGTGATAAAGGTATTTTATTTTACACAAGGTAAAAGTTACTATGTATGTTAGGAACCAGATATTGAACACAATGAGTCTATCTTTTATTTATTTTTTTATTTTTTGCAAATAAATAAAGAAATGATTGAGAAAGGCGATGACTGAATACGAAATTCTTAAATTATAATGAACCAGAGAATCAATTATTACCAATATTATTGTTGCTATTATTCTTATGTGTATCGTGCACACAAAAAATATGTATATCACAGCAGAAGCCTTCAAATGAAATCAGATAAATTATTTACAACACTGATAGGCGTGAATACAGCTCAGTTTTTTTGGCTTCTCTAGTCCAACAAAAGTAAACAATAAATTCATACCTCTAAAAGACACTTAACGTAAACATAGAGATACACAGAAACAAAGGAATCGCTAGTAGACTACATCGTAGTAAACGAAAAATTGTTTAAGGTTGGATACTTTCAACACTCCTACAAGGCTGAAAATTTATCCTACCCCTTTTTAGCCCTTACACCAGCAGATCCATTGGAGACTTCAACATTTAAGAGAGCAAGAGAGCATGGATAGATTATCTGCTAGAGACGCAGAAAAAGAAAACTACAAAAGCTGAAAATGAATGTGGATCTTCATCACTATCACTGAAAGGAATAAGAAAAATTTATAGCAATATCAAAATTATCTACTCTCACCATCACTGATATTTGATTCAGTTGATATGATGGCAACAACAATGCAAATACCGAAATATAAGGTAACATTGATTGTTACTCACCGATAAATGTTAGACTGATGTAATCAAAGAATCATCAGGCAGAGGAAAATATTGCCGAAAGTGAAGATGAATTAAAAGAAATCCTCGAGATAAAAAAATCCATTAACGCCGTAACAAGCAGGCACAGGGAGTAACACAAGATCCGACTAGCTTAAGACGCTGACAAATGTATTCACGTTGACAGGAGAGTAAGAAAAGAACGTTAAACAGTACAGTGCTGCAGTTGCCAGTTCATATCCTTGTGCAGCTCACACTTACCTTCAAAGGCATTCGTTTCATATGCAATTTCTTTACTTTCAAGTGATATATGTATTTCGGTAGTAAATTTTGTTACTGTATCCCTCATCCCCTAAGAGGCTATCAATAAGTCTACAGTAAACCGAAACATTCATTTTAAAATACACAACCCTTTAAATTTAGTAAATTGATCATTCAACACGGTTATGAACACATTTCTCTTGTGTTTACTGAAACAGGCGCAAAGTATAAGAAAATGTAAGTGACTCACTCTTTTATTTAACAAAGAATTTTTGATATCCGATGTGAAAACAACAGAATTCAAAATTTTATGAAAGAGAAATATAGTCACCTATGGAATGTGAAAGTAACAACAAAAGAACAGAAAACACAGATATGAAATTTATTTCGGGGGGAAAAACGGTTAAATGGTTGTTCACTTGATTCAATTAAATTTACTTGAATAAACATTAAACAGCATACGTTTCAAGCTCACTAACGTCTATCAATAAGCGGTGCACTAAAGAACGTAAGAAACTTTGAAAACACAAAATTGCTGCCATCAAGACAGCCATGCAATATATACGACCTTCATCAGAAGTAAGTTGTATGCATGGATCTTTGCGCTGATTTGAAGAGGTGTAATTCCTTATATCTAATTTAACTGAAATTTAATAATTATTCAGCACCGAAAACTTCAAAACACCATTATTCGCTGTCATCTTTACTGTTTTGCGTAACACTTTGTGTGAACAACCTCTGACCTACAACTAAGTTCATTCCTTCTACAGGGCATATTGATAGACAGCGTTCGAATTTGCGGAGATAATGCCTTGATTAATACAAAGAGTCAGCAAAATACCATACTGTATACCAGTTGTCTTGACAAAAAGTATACCAAAGAGGTTTGTGTTCTATCTCACATTTTATATGGTATGAGTATGATTATTAATATTGAAGTTAGGCGTAAAGTGCTAGATAATGAAAGGAAGTCAATCGACCTGTTTGTGAAGCTACACAGATTAAAATGTCCACGACACGTGGTGCGCATGCCAAACCACTGACTTCCTCGACAGGAAATGTAACCTGAGATAGTAATGGGTTGGGAAAGAATTAAGGTTGATCAAACCAAAGTTGTACATTAGCTGGTTGGAGTCCACGGGATGCTAATTACCAGTGTTTTGAAATTGTTAGTGATATGATTCAAAACCACTTTCAGTGGTGCAGATGCATTCACTCTTTGTAATTTTTTTTCTCCTGTACATTTCTGCTTATCATAAGTGTTTTAAATTTTTTCTCTCTTTTCTACATTTGTGGGCGATATGGAGGGTGACAACTTGAACTGCTGTACTTGTGTGATAAGTTTCACGTTAAAACTCAGTCAGTCATGAGTAGTAAATGGAACCCAGTTCAGTCTAAGTGAAACTAATGCCCAGACAAGAGGACACTATTACACAGTATCTTATTCGCCAATATACACTGAGTTAAGACGAAGGTGGACAATGATTTCACTTCTATACGTAAACGTTCACATAACTTCGTTTTTACCCGAAAGTTAGCTGCCAATTTACACTGATGAGTGTGCCTAATGCATAACAAGTCTAACAGTATTATTGTACTCACCACACCACCAACACTACCAGGTGAGTTCTTAGGATTGTATTCAAAGTAAGTGTTTTATACACAATACAATAATCTACATACATTTAATAGATATGACAACTCAATTAGTGATTTTATTCTTATTGATGGATAAAACAATTTAAACTTGACCTATTAATAAATAAACATGTTTAAAAGAATGCTACCATTTTATTGACAAAGAGTGTTAAGTAGGCTTGGCTGACACGATTTCAAGTAAGCACATAATCCTCTTTAATCCTAACAGTAAAATTAATTTCCACCCTATACAACAAAAAGTTAAAACACAACGCATTAATAGTTCTTAATAATTAAAAAACAAAGAAATTCATTATATAATAAACTTACAAACCACATAAGTATACCACCGAATAACATTTGTGTATTGTTCAAGTGTTCAACCTTGGATAAAGATTCCGACTGAACATCATGAAGTAATTTAGTCGAATCAGTGACCAGTAATTCACCTTTAACACGCGAACCTGCTTCTCGACAATCAATATGTTTCAGTTTCGCCAACGCTTCGGTTTTAGCACTTTGACATTGCAACCAAGAGTTGATTTCATGCAACAAGACATTATACTTTACCACTAAATAAAAAGATGAAAGGAAACTTAAACAATTGTTTATAGTGAATGAATCCAATAACTGAAAAATAAACTAACAAATAAAATGTTTGATAATAATTTGAAACCACTAAGTCCAGTGCTACCCTATATTGAATATGTTACTATTAAGACTTAGATTAGTGCTAAGCTGCAGACAGCTGGTCGTGTCTCTGATAAACATTCGAACCAGCGGTGAACAAATTTCTCTTCATGGTGATGATGAGATTGATAATTCACGCTATCACAATTAGAGCTATGAAAAGCTTGAAACTAAATGACAGACTAAAAGACACAGTTGGATCGTTGAACTATGCTAGTAACAGTATTAATAGAGAGAAGAGAGAATTATTTTGTTCAGATGAAAAAGGTTTCACAATTTTTCTCCCTACAATTCTTCCGAATAGTTACTACGAACACGTCAATTTATCGCCCTAAACAAATTCTGGCTTAAACACTGCGCGATCTCAGTGTAAATCTGTCTGACTATGAGGCGAAATTGACTGCTTAACAGTCCCGGAACAGTTCTGTTGACCCACAAGTGTCAAACTCACGTCGATGCCTTTCCTCTCAGGTCACTCTTATACATAATTTACACTATTTTTTCCGTTTTCCGATTGATAGAGCTTTTTTTCACTAGAACCAGGACATATTATGGTGTCTAGTTGGGATGGAGAAGATACATTCGAAAACTAGGCAAGAATAACTGGATTAACTTATGTTGAAGATATTTTCCATACCGGGTGGATATACTGTGGATACCAGTCGCTCCCAGAGACATTGAGAAGACAGCCATTATAACACTTTTTGACTTGTTTGAATTTCTACGAATGCCATTCCGTCTGAAAAATGCTGCAGTCTTTTCAGCGCTTCATGGACCAAGTCACTCAAGGTCTTGATTTTGTGTTCGTTTATATAGATGACGTACTAATTGCTGGTAAGTTGGCAGAGGATCATAAAGATCACCTCAGCACTTTGCTTCAGCGTTTCGAACAGTACGGTGTCGCTATAAACCCTAAGAAGTGCATTTTCGGTGCTTGATTCATTCAATTTCCGGGACATTACATAACCTCAGATGACATCAGACCTGAGGAGGAAAAGATATATAAAATCGAAAGCTTTCCCATACCATACTCATTGAAGAAAGTTTGACGATTTTTGGGGATGTTTAATTTCTCTTTACGTTTTATTCCTTCGTGTGTCTCCATCGTACAACCTTTAACTGATCTCCTTAAAAGTAATCTTAAAAAAGTCCAATCGTCAGCACAAGCACATGAATCTTTCTGTAACGCCAAAGACGCTTTGTCCAAAGTCGCTATTCTATTTCACATCAACTCCAAAGCATCTCTCATCTTGTGCAGAGATGCATCGCAAGTAGCAGAGTGGGGAGCCGAGTGGAGTATGCAACAATAGACTGTACAGTCTTTTGCTAGATGTTGAAATTACAAACATTGTACACGACTTTTGTTTAAAACGACTCAAGTTGAAATACAGCTAACTGCGGAGTACAAGCTAAAAAATACAGTTTACTGTTCACCGCTTCGTCTTCTCACTGATCTATGGTGTCTACTTGTCCCACTACTAACCATATTGTATACTTTGGATTCTGCAGGAACCTTTTATCCTCATCCAAAGACTACTCTACAATCGGCTCACAATTTCTACCAGTGGACACGATTCCAGCACCGAACACTATTGTGGACTAATATTAATAATTTGTAGTAGTGGACTTCAAGTGTATAACCAAGTAACCGATTAATTTCTATAACTCAATACTGTATTTTCTATAATATACTACTACACTATCATCTCATTAACTTGGATTTTTATTCAAATAATTGTTCTGTTACTGAGGACGCTAGAAAGTCCCCTACAATACTTTCAATGACACTAGGCAGATTGATAAGCTACACTTGATGTTTGATAATTTTATCTTCTTTAAAATGATGAATTTCTGTTAGATTCTGACAGATGAAGTAAACACCATTATGTACAAACTGCCACACAAACTTGAAAATATTTACTATTCAAGCAAGAAATTACATCTGGTTGTATATTTTTGCTCAATAGAGATCAACTGACACCAGTGTAACATTTAAGTCAACAAATGTGCACAATTGAATGACTAAAGAAACAAAGAAACGCTTACTTAAATCGATAATTAGTCTACTTACAAAAATTGTTGACTGAAAATGTATACGTTTATCTTAGTAAAATTGAATACAATAAATGTAAATGTAATTATTGTTTTAGTCAAAACCCAGCATAAATAGCATTCCTGTTTATTAAGCTGTACTGCTAGCGCATAACATCATATGCAGGCTGATTGCAAAACAATGGAAATATAGTGAACTTGTGACTAGACAAAGTTCTGTGTCTTAAGTTGATCGATCGTGAGTTAAACTTTTGGCTCTTAACTTTTAATCCTAAAGGCATACTTCTGCTACTCACAGCTTCGTGAAACACAATCTCAGCATTAACGATTGTTGTGTTTCGTTAGCATTTGATGCGTAGAAACTTCCTCAGTAGGTTACAAGAGATGGCTTCACATGCCATATTAGGAAGTTATCAGAAATGAATACAAAGTGGAAACAGTGATGATGAAACAAAGACTTTTCTGTTTGATAAATCATGAAGATCAGTAAGGAGTTCAAGAATCTGGACAACAACAGGGAATGGAAATATTTCCACCGCCTTATGCATCTGTGCTGAGATTAGGCCAGCATTTCGTTCATTAGGGCTGATACAAGTGAAGTGGTCAATGTATTCAACCTACTTATAAATTACGAGTTGGTGTAAATCCGTCCTGAAGCATCATCTTACACTCGACAGAGAGGGGAATCGCATGTCAAACATAGATTCCTGCTCAGAATGTTCAGAAAACTGCATTTTGTCAGAATAATTGCCTAAAAATGCTATATTCTCTGTATATTTTAGATGAGTAGATGAGTATTTTTTCCCATTCGGTGATTCATAGTACTCTTTGCTATCTTTTTTATTCTATTTAACTTTTTAAATTTCTTTTCACCCATACTGCACCAACTGTTTTGAACAAAATAAGTAGAATTAGACGGCTGGAGGCGATCGGCAGGAGGTCTTGGACCTAGGTTTCGTGTTAGCTGGCACTCGTCATAAAGACGTATCTGCAACCATGAAGAAACTCATGTCCATTCTGAGATTCGAACCCACGTTCCCAAGTGCTGCAGTCAGAGACGCTACCACTGAGCTATTCGGGCTCGCCATTGACCTCCTGTAGGACTGTACTGGATACTTTGATTGGGCACTAGTAACTAGTGTGATGTGTTTAGTCCCGCCTTCGGTGCAAACTGAATTCTACCAGTCAGGTTTCCAATGTGGCCACTATTCTAGGTAGCTCGCCATCACGATGCACATTGATTTGATGATATTAGAAGGGACATGAATTCCTTCAAGGTTGCAGATACGCCTTGCTGACGAGTGCCAAATAGCACAAAACCTAGGTCCAAGGCTTTCTTCCGATTGCTCTCAACCATCTAATACCATCAAATCAATTTGCACCGTAATGGTGAGCTACCTAGAATAGTGGCCATAATGTAAACATGACTGACGGAATTCAGTCTACACCAAAGAAAGGACTAGATATATCACAATAGTTACTAGTGTCCAATCAAAGTACGTTCTTGGTTGGTTCTTCTCTAGGTTTCTTTGTTTTTTAAGAGCTACTCATGGCCATCTTATCTTCAGTATCGACAGAAGACGGCTGTTGATGAACATTCACAGCCTGCTGGAAATGCTTTACTCCTTGTGCCAAGTTTCTGAGCTATATAGAATCAGTGACTTGACATCAGTGTTGAAAATCCGGATCTTGTTCCTTATGTTGGGCGCAGTAGGTTTCCATATTGATTTCAGAGTAATGAAAGGCTATCTTGCTTGACATCGTCAACAGTATCACATGCAGTTGAAACACTTTGTTCAAATGGCTAGCCAGAATTCCAGTGGTTACAGTTAGCTGATTCGGTTGTTTTAGTTTAATCAAATCAAACAAACAAAACAAATCTGAATTCCCAATATTTGAAAGCTTGTTGTTCTGAGTCAAGCGAGCAACAGTGAACACAGTGATTAGAAATATCTCTCATTCTGAAAAAGAAAATAAGCGGATGATATCCACATATTTCTAAATGCTCTCCAGGGTATTATTATTATTATACGACTTGATTGATAATGCAGGTTAAACAAAGAAAAAGTGTAGAGGAGTATATCAATCAAAAAGAAGCAAATAGAACAAGCTTCAGGCGAATTCTGTAACAATATAAGATAGTCAAACCGACGGAAGTAATTATCCAAGATGAAATCCACTTCAGCAGACAACAGAACAAAGGTAGATGTCTTTTTATGTTATTGGCCACTTTTAAATGCCTTCATTACTTCTTACATTAATTTTACTTAAACACTTAGCTACATGATTTTAGTCGCACACAAGCACATTACGGAAGAATACATCTATGGAGCTAAGTACGTTATTTCAACAAAATGGCTTACACAGTTTTCCGAGTGTAGAAACTATAGCTGATGCACTTTTGCGGTAAGTAATACTTTGAGAAGTTACCCAGTCATTTAAAGAATATAATTTAAAATTCAAGCGAATAGATCACCTTGCATAAACACGAAAAAAAATAACAACACGAATTTGTTAAACATGTACTAACAATTTAGCTTTAATAACTTTCAGGATATTTCCCGAAAATGTACTTTTTTATTGGAATGCCTCCAGAAAAATACTCACCATCTTGTTTGCAATGAGATGAAGTCAAGGCCCGAATTCCACTCTAACATGAAATACAAAACAGTATTTCATGAAGTATGTCGTTAAGCATACTGATTCACTGGGAACTTTATCAAGTCACCACCACCACGCAAAAGAAAACTTTAATGACTACTGACATTAAAAATCACAAAAAACTATCACCGTTGTAATTCAGCAAGGCCTAAAACTCATTTGAATGATTCAAGTTGGAAAGCGCTGGAAATTCACTTGCAACTTAACAACATTCCAACTGTAATATGGTACATGCAAATCATAAAACATCCTAGTTTTGTTCTATAACAGCGCTATGATGCCGACCGGTTATAAACTTATTAATTATTGGCTCTTAAAGATGACGAGTATTGAACACTATGCCTAATTTTAGAAAGACAATCTATCGAATTCTTGGTATTACGTTAATGTTTCTATCAACTATGCTGTTAAACTGCTTACTGTAAGCAACGAAAAAGCACAACTAATTCTGTCTGTCTGTCTGTCTGGATTCAACATAGAACTTGGCACCGAAGTGCAGCAGTTCGAGTTGCCACGTTCCAAATAGCACACAGAGGTAGACAAGAAGATGAGTGAAGAGAATTAATAGAGTTTGACAAATATAAGAGTGAAACAGAATGGGTAATGGTAGAAAGGAATATGAAAGATTACAGAGATTGAATACATCTGCGCCATTGACAACGATTTTGAGCCATGTCACCTATTGTCTCCAGCCATTGATTCCTAGAGTCCCGAGGGCCCCAACCCGGGAGTCTGCATCTCCCTACCTGACTCAGTTTAACTGTCAAGGATTTCATGGATTGATGCCATGTTTTTGTTTGGCCACCACTGGCTCTTTTCCAACCTGAACCTATATCAGCTAACAATGCCCGTCGGGGGAGGCGGTGGTTAGGCATGCGCAGCACGTGACCTAGCCATCTTAGTCTATGTAACTTTATAGCCTCGTCGATTGATTTTCCCTCTTTGCCCAACACTCTACGCCTAACGTCAACATTACTTATCTTGTGAAACCACCTAACGTGAGACAGAGATCGCAGACATCTATGATCGAAAGCAGTCAACCTTTTCATGTCTTCAACGCGTATTGGCCATGTTTCAGAGCCATAGAGAAGGACGGAGCGAACTGATGAGCAGTACACACGTCCCTTGGTTGATAACCGGATGTCACGCCTACGCCAGAGATGGTGTAAGTCAGCGAAAGCAGCTCGAGCTTTTCGGATCCGTGCTGAGATTTCATCGCCAATCAGTCCGTTGGTGCTAATACAACTTCCCAAGTAGGTGAAGTGGTCAACATGTTCTATCACTTCACTCCCTATCACTAAGTTAGGGGTTGACGTCGTCCAGTCCTGTAGCAGCATCTTACATTTTGCAGGGGCGAATCGCATGCCAAACATACGAAGATTGCTGCTCAAGGTGTTCAGAAGACTCTGCATTTTGTCAGCATCCTCCCCTAACAGGACTATGTCATCTGCATATTCTAAGTCCATTAGATTATTCCCTGGTAACAAGTCGATTCCTAAGTCACTACGTTCAGTTAAGGATACTTCCATTAGCATATCTATGATGAAGTTAAACAGAAATGGGGAAAGTGGACATCCCTGTCGGACACCACTGGTTGTTACTAATTCAGATGACAATTCCCCATAAGCCCTTACACGACTACGTGAGTTTGAATAGAGTGCCTTGATTAGTGCAATGTACTTTCTTGGCACTCCCTTCACAGTCAGACATTGCCATAGTACCTTTCGGTCCACGGAGTCGAAGGCCGCCTTCAAGTCAAGAAATATGACAATTGTTGGACGCCGAAAAGTGTGTCTATGTTCTAGAATCTGTCGAAGAGTGAAGATATGATCTATGCACCCTCTACCTGGTCTAAAGCCTGCTTGATTTTCCCTTGTCTGTTCCTCCCGAGTTCTGCTTAGTCTATGCATGATTACTGAGCCTAGGATTTTAGAGACTATGTTCGTTAGGCTGATCCCCCTATGATTATCACACGAGGACTTGTTTCCCTTCTTGAATATCGGTATAATAAGTGACTTACCCCAGTCTGATGGTACTGTCTCTGATTCCCAGACTTTGCCTAGTACCTCAGTTAATCTACAAACTAGTATGTCACCCCCATATTTAAACACCTCCGGAATAATTCCGTCGGGTCCTGCCGCTTTGCCTCGTTTCAAATTACTGATAGCTTTTGTAACACAGTTACTCAATCACTTCATATTCGGTTTATTGTTATTGCAGAAAACCAATAAAAATCTTTTTAAATCTACCTTGTTCTTTACTCCATACACTTGAAGTACAATCTGTATCCTCTGTTGTACCTGAAGATTTGCATTCACCAATCACCTGACCAATATGTCTCATCAAAACAAGTATAGTTTTTAATTTTTCTTCATTTGAAAGCCATAGATTGTTTAACCATGTCGACGATAGAACACCAAGACTTCGTGATGGTATACCAGCGCCAGTAATTAATCCGATTAATGATGCTAAATCTACTTGTTGTGTTTGCTCTATGTGTTTTGTGTTATTTGAACACGACTAGAGCAAAAGAAAAGAGAAGCAAGACATTGGATGATTTAACTTAACTGTTTGGTATGGAATAAAGATAATAGTAGACCGTCAGAAAAAGGAAAATGAGTAACTTTTCGTTTAACCATCTAGGACGAAAAGTACAAAAATAGCTTAGGAAACAGGATTCAACAAGAGGGAAAACAAACAAATGAATATATATATATATATGACATTTATCAAAGGAAAAAACGAATACTGTAGATGTACCTCTAAGAAAAGTATCACCTTGAATCTACATTCACCATTTCTGAATGCCTTGCGAATCCCAATTAGGATACCCTAATTTCATAAACTGATTAGTCAAGATGAGAGGGCTTTTACATTAGAAGATAAAGTTGATAGTGGCTACGCATTTGTATTTCTTCTTAAACTTCCGACAATATATGTGAAATCAGGATTGTCTATTCATCAAATATGAGCAGTGCTGTATATACAGGGGAATTCACAATAATCAACAGGCACTTCATGGCTTCCACGGGGACGTTAGTTGGCGAACCCCAAGAGATCACTTTACGTGTGCCTTGACATCAACACTTATCAAACAAACCACATGAAAGGGAAATATTAAGACATAAAACTAGTACTCTCCGGGGTATTCAAGCAAAGCTTCAACACAGAATGATCTAGAGGTAAAGAAAATGCATTCCAAAAACTAATATTTCCACATCATGTATTTTGCAGCGTTGGATTCCAAAAGCACTAGACAGTCTTTAAAAGCGCTTCACTACCCTGGACCTGGTTACAAATTATAATGCTCAAGAAACTATCCAGTCATACACGTCAAATTATGTGGGACGAAATTAGAATATTTGATTCAATAATTAATGGCTCGAAGTTGAGAAAACTGTACTACAATTCTGCGTAATATGTGATCTGCAGTAAAGATGATTTATGCATTGATTGAATCCAATAATTAATAATGCTAACATTTCGATATGGTTACGTTGTCTGAGCTAGTTGATTTAAAACTGCAAAGCCTTCGTTGTCCTTTTAGACAACATTTTCAGCAAAAGCTTTAATATCAAGTGAACTTATTTGAATTCTGCATAAATGATATGAGTAGAATTCAGCTGAGTTCATTTCATATTAAAGCATACGCTGATTAATTGAGTTCTTTTCTAAGACCTATTCTTATGTGTAACATGCAATAACATCCAATTCCTTTCTGCTCTAGACAATTAGTCAGTTCATAAACCGCCTCTGATAAATATTCGATAGAACCAGATAGAATTAATAATTTTTAAGCATACAAACTTTTTGAATACCCTTTTTAAAGATTGATAAGTCTTGTTCCAGTTAGATCCAAGCATGAAAAGGCCAACAGACTTTTCACCTATTGTGGAACCACCATGACTTCCTTGATCACTCATTCCATGATCACCGGTTAAAATAAACAACCATTTCTTATCAGCAAATGCTGGAGAGTTTATCTGTAAAGGAAAAAGGTATTGAAAGTACAAATAACTACAGAATATATAATTTTTTTTATTACAACTTGACTCCATACAGTATTTCGGTACAAGTATGGAATTTATAGCATGTGATATCGGTAGCCCGAATTTAGCAGGCTGATCATTGATATGGGGTGTGAGTCGGCCGGGGATCGAACCCCGGAACATGTGTATGGTAGACGAGTGTCCTAACCGCTGTGCCACCGACGCACACAAATTTTAAAGGGAGGACCGTGAGGCCTCCCCACTGACAAGAACTAAACGCCTGAATATCACTAAACATTTATCGGTTTATTTTATTTCAACACATAAAGTTTTACTACTGATACTTTAAGCCTTAAGGGACGAACAACTTATGCTGGTAAATGCTGAGGGCATCATACATATTGTCATAAATTATAATGTTTGATATAGGCCAACAGTGGGATCTAATACACTTGTTTCATTCCATGTAAACCCGTTTACTAACAATGTACGAATTAAAGTGTGTAACGAGGTTTTTGTTAAGACTTAAAAATTAATTTTTATCGTTTCTGTCGATATAAAGCATTTTTCCTCATTTGCAACACCTCTTTATTAATTGTACTGCGACACCTGAGAAAATTTCTGAGAGGAAGAAATTCCTCAACACAGTATATCTAGCAATGTCAACGCATTGATAATTCTGAACATTGATCTAAAAAGCACGACATCAAAGTTTGTCATGTAAGAAAATATCATTAAAATTTCAGTTTGTGCAACAGCCACTATCTTTTACTCATCGTTTTCGAAATTTATAAACCCTAAAAAAGGAAATAATTGATATGTTGCTAGATTTCTTATCAATCACATGCACAGTAAAGAATCTCTTCTTTCCCACAAACATTTTTAGATTATGTTATCAATAATCAATAAGAGTATGCATCATATATTTAAATCTGTTAAACCTATTATCGATTGATTTTTTTTAGCTGCTCAATTGAAATTTCAAACAGCATAGTCAAATGAACACCTGTAATATTCATTACAGTTCAAAAAGCAAAAAACAAAGATACACCACCAGTACAAGATATTAACGATAGTGAACACAACGAGAAAAATAACTCATTATTTTATTGCATCATTATTTAGTTACGCGCAAATGTGCGTTAATTTTCTAGGCTTCTATAAAATACGATATTAAAAATACATTTGCCCTATTTTGTTGATGAGAATAAAAGAATACTTTTATTATTTTTCCCCAACAATTATCAAGAGTATTTATTTACTGAATTCAGAATCTACTTCTTATCTACTGATTTCCCAAAGATTCAAATCTGCATATTTATGAATTTCATAAAAGGGTATATGTGAAAATTATATATATGTATATATTACTCCCCAGTTGATGAAATTCCACATGCACACAAAACCTACGTTCACGATTTCCTGCTGACTCCTCCTAATATCCGAAAGCAAAATAAAAGGTGTATTATTTAAAAATTTCTTATTGCTTTGGGGTTTTCATCGAGTTAGAGATAGCAGACACTTCTGGATATAAATGCTCTAGTTTATCTTAGGAAGATAATGGTCTAGATTTGTCAGACTATAGCTAGCCATCCACTCTGTGATACCCAACAGTCCTGTACAACATCACGTATTAAATGAATGTATAATATTAAGAAATTCCAAAGCAAGACAAAAAAGGACATTTCAAGGCTGCTTCGTTTAAAATAAACCATCAAACACTTTCACACTTGTCTATAAGATATAACATTGTTTTCCCCAATAATAAGATAGATTAAAAGAATCACGCTTAAACGAAAAATAAACATATGACAAACCATTGGGTCAAGAATACTGTGAACAACTTCATCCATTTCACGAATTTTATCTGGCATACTACGTCCATTAGGTCCTTGAGTGTGTCCGATATGATCTAATCCCAAGTAATGCAAAATAAGACCATCCCACGTAGTTGACGAATTCATCAACGTTGAAATATGACGTGTCACATTTGTGTCTACCTAGAAAGTTGAAAATGTCCAAGTTGCAAACAATTTTACTTCATGAAAATCATTGACATAGAATGAATTTGTTCCATCGTAATCTTGGAAGCTCTTTGGGAAGAGTTTTATCCAAGTATCATCTCCATAAAATCTAAGATTCCATTGAAGTTTCGCCAAACGATTGACCCAGTTATCATCAGCCATTGCTCCTGCATTAATATTATTCAGAACATCAACAAATTTGGGAGCTCGTCCTGAAACAATTGCCTGGTTGCTTTAGTTTCAAGTTTTTTATTGAACTAACCTTTATTCTAGGTAGGGTAACCGTAGGAGGCTGTACAGTCGAAATTGAGCATGTAGCTGACTTAAGATTCATATAAGAGTTAAGTTTGGTCCAATATTCAGAGTAATTTGATGAAAACAGAAAATCTGCTCTTAACGCGTCAATGACCATTAAAACCAGTTTATCAACCTTCTTAATTTCTTCTAACTGATTAACTACAACAATTTTATTAAGCAAAGGTATCACTGAACTTACTCTCACCAACTTTTATAACGGGGTCATTGGGAAGTAAACCATTCATAAACACAAAAAGACCAAATGAATACACACCAATCAGTACGAGGCATTCGTAAATATTAATTTTTTCCAAAAACCCCATTTACGTATAATTATCATTCACAAGTCTAGAATTTGAGAAAAATTCAGACAAGTAAACTCTTGTTTTGTTAAGAATAAATTTGATATCTGAAACGTAAAACGGCACAAATGAAAAACGTTTAGAAGTAAAATATGCATCGGTATACTGTCTATTATGTCAAAAACTGTAGATTAATCGAATAGATACCCTAGAGCAAAAATGACAGCCATGTATTGTATGCTAATGGTCCAAAATATCCTCAGAAAATCTCTTTGCTTATTAAGTAACGCATAAGAAACTCTACTGGCTTAATCGATCCCCTGACTGACTACAAACTGTTGTAGCACTTTTTACGCAAGTATACTATTAGAAGTTTGCGCGCTTCAAACGCAAAACGAATGCCATGAAACTGCGATGGATAAACACGATGGATATTAATAAGATAATCAGTGAATAGTGGCAGAATCTGGATGACAGCAAAGAACAGATACACTTTTATCTGTTCTAAACTGCTTTGCCAGCAGGAGCCAAACACTGATCTCCGATATCCCATAGACACCTCCGGAGTTATACAAAAGACATCTCACCATGCAGTTCAAATTAACAGTCACGAGTTAATCCCATGTTCTATTCTGACGGCCCCCAACCTTTTTCCAAAGTAATTACGACTAATCAAAGAAAGTGTTGACTCAGAATGCGTAGCACCTTATTAAGCCATTCCAATCGATGGAAATTCACATCATCGATTACCTTATGCTTCATACCTAACACTCTGAGATCGAACTTCATTGTTAGCCTCCATTTCGTTTACCTAGCAAAATAAGTTGAATGGATACGACTGCAGTCTATAACTCATCTAAACATCTCTTTAAACATAAGAGAACTATTGTAAATAAATTTCTGTTCACTATTAAAAACATTTAAATGTTTCTGTTTAGGTTTCAAATGAGCGAAAATACCAACTCCTGCAATAACTAATCTACGGCTTTCTTTATTTTCAAAAATTTACTAACCACACAAGTGAACAAACTACATTACTCGAAAACTGCAAAATGTGCACTAACTAGAGTCATGTAAGAAGCGCCGTCAAACCTCAAGGTCTCTGAGCTGTTTAGGTGCATTAAAACAACAAAATTGAAGTGCTTATTTTCCGTTGGACAGATTGCTTTGACCATCTTTAATTTGACCTTTTTTCTCTCGCTCCACCTTCCTTCATTTAAATTCAATGTCCTTCTTGCAAAAATATATAATACATCTTATTCATTGGCCATCCTGGCTGCATTTTTCGATATCCCACTAGATATTTGACAAATTCCATTGCGGAGAATATATATGGCCGACTACTATGGATTTGAAGGCTACTAAAATACGAGGAATGTTTATGTATTTTGGTGGGGATTTATGCTTTCTTGTATCGTTGACTCTCAGAGACGTAATTTCACCAGATAGTCTTCCAATTAGTTATAACACAAAACATATTTACATTACATTTGTTCACAGTTCATGCTATTGTTACATTGCCCCCGTTTCAGAAATAGGTGGGAGCTTGCATGGAACTTGTTCGCTCTTCTTTGTGTGCCCCATAAGATATAAGTATCTATCTCAAATGGTAGTCATGCATAAAAATAATCGACTTTTAGTCATTGCAGAGCATATTTTGTGTTCACCTGCGTAATATTATAAGTGTAAATGTGCGGAAACCTTTGTGGTTTTTGCTGAATCCTCTGTGTATTAAGTACGTGCGCATTATTACTTTCAGCAGCAGCTTCCATTTAAAAACTCTCCTCGTATGTGAGAGGTCGGTTCCATAGATGGGAAACTTTGTGTTACTGCTAATAGACATCATGAGGCCCATATCACTTACGTCTTCCTAAACAACAGCTGCCAGAGCATACAAGAGTTTTTATTCTCTGTGTCTCTAGTTTCGCCTCATAAGCATCAGATAGCTGAGCATTACTTGGTTAATTATTCCTCATTATCTTAGTCGGAAACGACTACTACCTGACGGCAATTGTACCTTTACATTCTATATGAGCAGGTGATCCTTTGAAAAAGTATAATTTAATTTTAAATAGTTTCCCAACATTCGCCAACAAAAGTGTCATCCACAGTTGTTTCTTCGAGAGACAAGTCAATTTCTGTATTCAGGAAGCGTGCGTGCCGAATTCTTCTGAGTATACTTATCCCCAGTGTCAACTGGTGATGTAGCGAAGTCCCTTGCAATAACTGTCCTGCGGCACTCCATGGATGAAATTTAGGGGATTACGATAATCACTGTCAGCCACGTCTCATGAACCGTTAATGCCCAGCTCTTGCTACGCTCGGGATCACGCTGTTCTTTGAAGTTTCTCAGAAACGCTTAGTATTAACGGATGAAAAAACCAAAACACCGATTGGCCACTCGAGAATTCTTTATTGTTACACCAACATATAAATGACGTATGACTAAGGTCTGTGAACAAATATTACAATAATAAATCACAATATTACTTCTGACGGCTTGCTACTGACTTCTTTCTGAACAGCGATCGATGAGACGATGACTGGCTGATTGATGCCTCCGCGAAAATTGGGGAAGTTGGTTTTGAGCAAACAACCATGAATTGATCGTTCAATCTTCAACTACATTGACAATCACTATTTGCTGGTGTTAATCTCGCCTATAGAGTGCCTACCAAAGACCCAGTGATTTTGCGGTCATAGAACACTGAACTGTTGAGAAAAAAATCGTTTGCTGGTAACTGCGAATTTTTTTTAATGGGACGGCTTCTGACAATAGGTATTTCAGAGGATGATACACCATTGGACCTGGTTGATATGTCTGACCCTAAAATGCCGTTGTTAAAGCATATGGCATTTAGTGCAGTCCCAATAGTGCAAGGTGAAACAGTGAATTTCGCAAGTAATTCAGGTCGATGTTTATTTCCATTACCCCTATCAAATGAGTGTTAACGAAACAGTATGACATTTATATATTATTTTAGTGAATGCCTTCGTAGTACAACATTCTAGTAATTGACCCATATATCCTGTTTTCATTTTGGTTTTGGATAAGTGTGTAGCAACAAGAACTAGAGTAATGCAAAAATGCATACTGATCAGGTAGTACGATGACGTCCCAGTATACAAAATCAGTAAAAACAAGTGACCATTCCTAGAAGGACAAAATCAAATGGATATTTTTCAGTATTCGAACCGCAACACATCATATTTTTAGTACAGCTCTATGTATTAGACTTGATGGAATAGCGATGGGGTTTCTGAATTATGCATCTCCTTTTTGAATACTGACTGTGAACCTATTTATCTGTTGTTTAACTTTCCAAAATGGATAAGCAAGATTATTCAAAGAATCAAAATCCGAAGAAGAATTACTGTTCCTATTACAACACAGTGGAAAAAAGTAAACTAATTCATATCCACTTCAGAGGCTGAGGTCCTTGACATTCACGGATAATACGACGTGTACTGAGGGAAGGTCTAATACCCACAGCTTCTATTGTATTCGTTTCACATAGATCAAAGACAAAACAGAATACCAACATCGACCGTCCAAACTACGTAGTATATTTTCGGACCGAATTCGTAGTGCTAGGATAGCTGCTTAACTAGCTACGAAACGTGCAGGAGTGAACGAACGTAACATGACAGCGTGCTAAGCGGCTTGGATGTTTGACCATGAGGATTCAGCTAAACAAGTTTAATTGAACAGTGAGGGTTAACATCTGATGTTCAGTGATGAATGCTGTGGCGTATAATTTTGGGGAAATACCTGCCACTACAAGGCGATGCTCTTTGAAAATATAACAGGGGAGAATGAGATGTATATTTTACTTGGATACTGCTGTGAAAATCACCACTCACTACTGAGATCCATATCTTCAACTTCATGTCTAGATTCCTAAGGCATACTGCATTTATACTGATCTCTGGAGTATCCAAGATACGAAAGAAACTAATTTCTTATAACTGTAAAATCTGCAGCTTCAAAATCACACCTGAATATTTTAGGGGCTAAGTAATTAGAAAAACTGCCCCCAGAGAAGTGAACAAATATTCACCCATGGTTGTGCACAACTGCTCAGAGTTTTTCTTGGGAAAAGAATAATGCTTCTAGACGCAGTACATCTAGCGTATGGAAGGAACTCGTGGAGATTGAACAGCTAATTAACACTTACACAGCCTAGACAGAACCCAAAGTCGATTACGCAACGCGAAAGAAGACAGAGATTTCGACACAACTAGTAACGTACCAGTACTTCGATGATTACCATGTATAAAAATAAACACCTTTTATGCATATGACAGCTACACACCAGCTAAGGAAAACAAAACTCAGTCATATATAACCTCTCAAGAAAACTAGGCAGTTCCATTGTTAAAATATTCAAGACACGAAAAGCATATTGTGCTGAAAAGGGGCCAGTAAGGAAGCAAATGATTTTATTTTAATATAAATACCGACATAATAAAACGTTTTACCTCATATTTCACACACTTAACAGCATTATTTACTGGCTGTAACCAACACGTTCACCTAAACATCCCTTAGCGAAGATTAACATCTTATTCGTGCACACTAAATGTGTGAAGAAAGTTGCAATAGCTTACAACGACTTGGTTAGAAAATATTATTTCTAACCGAGTTTTTTTTACAGAAATAAGGAAAATAATGCAATCAGTTTATTCAATAAAAGTTTTTTTAAATTTTATATACAAGATAATATACATTTTATGAAGTTGCTTCTTCAGAAAGAAAGTGTCTTTTGAATGTTGTAGTCATATACGGCCGGTAGACCCATTCAATGTCTGCTGTGGATTCTTCATGCAATGGTCCACGCCAAATTTTATATACTGGAAGCAAAACGTTACAAGGGAAAGATCTTTAAACATTTACAAGCTTAAAATTTTCAATAAAATTTTGTCAAAAGGAAGGTTTTTTTTCAAAGCATTAACGGAAATTAATCAAATTGCCGGTTTTTCAAAATGTGAATTATTAGGGCTATTCGGCGTAACTTACAAAATCCAACCAAAAATTATGAAAGGTCTACCATCTTCATTTACTGTATTATTGAGACAACCGAATCAATTCATAGTGATGAGAAGCCACATTTGTGCATCTAAACAAGTAGTTAAATCTCTCATCTTGTCGTAATTTATGAGAATTGGTCGAGACTAGTTAAAATCAGTAATGGGAAACTCTACTCATTAAAAGAAGCTAACTAGTGTTTCCCAGTCATCAATATTTAGCTGTGGGTGAACACAAACCTAACAATTTTAATAAAAAAACAAACATGTATGAGGTTACTTTATAAATTTCTAGCAGATATCGGCTAAAAACCAAAATAGAGCCAGATAGGTCAACCTCTGTTAGTAGCGAACTGTGTAGAACCAGTGACTACTGTAATATTCATCTAAGCACTGATGAAATAATTCAGCTAAATAACGAAATGAGAACAACCAAAAGAACATTTCATAATTTTCCATTTCATACTCATCAAGTTGGCCTACATAATAGTTACATAACTAGGTTCTTTGATAGTAAGAATGTGCAAAAACTGATAATATTGAACGACATAACACTAACACAGAATTATGGGATATTTGAAGAAAAACAAAGCGGTGATTAAAAGCGCTTGTGTTTGCAACTAACTTCAATTGTGGATCATCTAAGTATGGGTAAGATTCTAGACAGTAAGCCACATACTAGCATTACTTGACATTAAGATAGTACAACTCCTAATTACAACATGTCGAGATACCGTCCCACTAATTTTAAGAAGTTCATCGAAGCCTCCTCCAAACGGAGGATTTTAAATGACATTGATAAATACTATTAGATGTCAACTAATAAATGAATTACAGTAATAAACTAGTGTGAATGACAAAACAGCGCTGACGAGATACAACTAACACATAAAATATATATTAAAGCGAAAATACTCATTCAGACACTTTTTTTAAATGAGCAAAGAACATCCTTTTAGATAATTTCCCCTTCTGGATCTACGAATATATACACGTTTTTATACACCGAACATTCTAGAATAGTCAGCTTTAACAATATTGGCGTTTTTAAATTCTGTCGATCTATTAGGATCGGTGAAACTACAGTTCAAGAAAGACACTTAAGTTGTAATAAACATAAAAATGTAACAGCCAATAGAATATCGAATAAAATTAAGGAAATTTCAACAACAAATTGAAGAGCATTAAAACCCTAATGGCTAAGGTGAGGACAGTGTCTGAACCAGTTTTTTGGATATATAGGTTAGGCTTCTTAATGTAGATATCAACAGCCTCAGCAATATGTAGTAGACGAACTCGTAAGGTGAATTTAAGATTAATTGGTATACAGTAGATGACTTTGAAAGCTTTGTAAACATCAGTCTTGTGTTCTGTATCCACAAGATGAAATAGAACAGCGCTATGAATGGATTTTATTTGTCTTTTACACAATCACACAGGATTTTTTTTTTACCAGTTTTCTTTTAAAAATATATATTACCCAAAAGAAAGATTAATAAGTACAGGTAATTGAATAAGTATACTTACAGCGCATATCGAATGATGGACCGTGTTCAGTTAGCTCCAACTTTTTGTCCACATACTTATATGTGTGATGCCTTGACAAAAAGTGTATTAAAAATAATGCTTATTAATATATATGAAGAAAGGAAAACAAAAAATATCAATCCCAACTATACTTCAAATGAAAACCCTACTCATCAACTTATGAGATACACGTTATCAGTCACGTACTAAACGTAAACCACATCCATTGCATGTAAGGTGCGGTTGGGGATGTGATTCGTCAAAGCATATGCTATTTGAATTAGCATCAAGTCAAGTAATTAGACCAGTTCACGACAATAGAAAGAAGGTAATACTTGGTATATCGTTGAAACAGATGGCAAGCTACAGTGCGATTTTGCCGGTATATTTTAAGACAGAACACAGAATAGTTGTTATAGTACAAAGAAATAGAACGCCTAACAGAGAAAGAGGATAAAAGGAAAAATAGGGCAGAAAGGGATGAAAATTTGAGAAAAGCTTGAATCATTTCAAGGAAGAAGATGCATTTTGACTTGAATGTGAACCATAGAGTGAATTTCATTTGCAATTTAGGTCATAATACAGTGTTGTTAAGAGTCTAAGATGAAAATCTGGCACAGAAGTACACGCATATAAGTCTTAGTTGGTGAAACTTATCATTTCAATCTATTTCGATATACATTATGACGTAGTGTTATCAAACTTCATGTGGTTCATAATTTCACGAATACAAGATTATTAGATTAAATTTTAAGAACACGAAAGCACTAGATATTTGGTCAAATTCGAAAAACAAATCAAACTCTTGGAAATTAATCGGATGCTCACTAGTGACTTGCTACAGAACGAAGTTTTCTGGAGTTCTAGTGAGAAGTCATGACCAGTGGGGTCCATCCAGTCGGGAGTAGGGATGGATTTCTCATCGATGACATTGAGTGGTGATCGCGCTCAAAATCACAAACTGGTAGAAGTTAGAACTCATGAGCCATTGAATCGGGTTCCAGTGGCTGAATGGTATACGAGCTTGCCTTGTTACCGGAAGGTCCGGGTTTCGAACCCCAGTGGGCTCGTACTGCCGATGATCCCCAAACTAGGATGAAACAGCAGCTGTCCAGTACTCCCTGGTTTTCAATGGTTCTCTAAATGATATCAATCCGTGGTCGAATTCAAAAACCAAATCAACCCTTGATTATAACTTTATTATAACTTTGTAAAGCTATATATATGCCTAAATCCTAGTACAAAATTTAGTCACAGAGGAGGGTGGTAAAGGACATGCGAGTGGATAATATAAATACTATATCTGAAACTACACGATAATTAGTACTTTCAAAAAAACACTAGGAAGATGTAGTTGCCTCGTCATGTCATTTAAAAATGCATAAATTACACTTATTGTTTTGGCGACAAAAAACATTCATATGCAATGAAAATGAATTTTACACAATACTCAAACAATATGAAGTCAGTACTGGAACATTGTAGCATACCGTAATATTTCCTCAGCTTTTATCAAATAATATTCAAGGGACAATCCATTGATATCATGACTTCATAATAAATTGTTTCAAATCCTAAACCTCATTTTTTAACAAGCTTCGAAAGCGCATATGTATTTGTTTCGTAAGTAGTGTAATTCTGACCTTCGCGCTACTCAAAACAAAGGGGTGAGGATAAAAATCATCGCGAGGTATTTTTGCACATAGTACTGCAAACGCAACAACGCATACTCCAGCTGTGTAAAAATTTTTTATAAATCCCCGTTTAATCCGTCCAAACGTAAAATATGATTATAGCATTTCTCTAAGCACAAAATACAAATCACATAAAACCAACTACCTGGGGAGATTCAAATTGTAATCGGACACCTCCACTCTACCTATTGACGTATAGTGAAACGAAAGTGAGACAAATCTGTTTTGCAATAACTTTTATCCTTGCTCAAACAAAACCAAAATGGGCTAACGGATAATTTCTAATCAAAGTTGAATGGAGCTTCATGATACCCTTGTCGAACCCACAGAACTTTAAAATGTTAATAAGTAATTTTTGTAAACACCGAAAGTCTAATGGGTACTTTGAAATATACTATAATTTCCACAGTAGTACTGACTGACTGGTTTCAACATAGAACTTCGTACCGATGTGCAGCAGTACGAGTCGCCACATTTCACTTAGCACACATAGCCAGAGAAGAAGAAAGTAAAAAGAAACGCAAAATAGAGACAGTGAACACAGATATGAAGCAAAAAGAATAGTGATGTCGAAGAACAATACAGTTTTATTGGAAATTATAAGTCACAAGGAGTGGATACATCTGCACCAGCTATTGAAAACGATTTTGAGCCATATTACCGGTTGTCTTTAGTCACTGGTGTTTACCATCCCGGGGACCCCAACCAGGCTGGTTTAAACTAACTGTTAGGGATTTCATTGACTGATTAGGCCATGTTTTCGTTTGATCAACACTAGCTAACTCTTTTCCAACTTGATCCATTCTATGCCAGCTACCATTTCCCATTGTCGAGAAAGGCGATCGATAACTAGGCATGCATGTGTAACACATGTCCTAACCATCTCGATCGATGTAACTTCACGGCCTAGTCTACTGATTTCCTCCTCTTTACCTAGCACTCGACACCTAACCTCAATATTGCTCACCTTATTAGGACGTAGGAAACAGCTGGCGGTAAAACCATCACGTCCCCAGCTCGATCAGGAAACTAAATCCGTATTTGAAGAAGAACTAGCTAAACACATATCTGTGTTCGACAGCTGTGCTCACCCTGAAGAAGCTTGGAAAAATATCCAGGCAGCCATAGATACAGCTGTAAAAGCTGTGAATAAGGTAAACCCAAAGGTGAGTAAAAACCACTGGATCTCCACCGCCTCATCCGAACTGATAGATGCTAGAAGACTTATTCCGGCGAGCTCCGAATTCAATGAGGAGCGAAAGCTGCACAAAAGGAAACTTACGAAAAGTCTCCGCAAGGACCGTGAACAGTGGTGGGTGACAAAAGCCAAAGAGATGGAGAAAGCTTCGAGGATAGGCAACACCAGGCAACTCTTTTGACTCATCAGGGAAACGGGTGGGAGAAGACAAATCATTAGTGAGACAATCTCGGAAAAAAATGGCACTATAATTAGCTCACAGGATAGACGACTGGATCGTTGGAAAGAGCATTATGAGGAGCAGTTTAATTGGCCCACAGCCACGCTCAACCTTCCGAGCATCCAACACCTCCCTGAATGGGATATAGACACAGGTCCTCCATCCCTAACTGAGGTTACTAAAGCTGTCACCAATCTGAAACTAGGCAAAGCAGCGGGACCTGATGGAATGACTCCAGAGGTATTTAAGTACGGTGGAGACAGCTTACTGTCTGCATTAACTGAGGTACTAGGCAGCGTCTGGGAATCAGAAGAAGTCCCATCGGGTTGGTGTAAGTCACTGATTATCCCCATATACAAGAAGGGAGACAAGTCTTCCTGTGATAATCACAGAGGGATTAGCTTGACTAATATAGTATCTAAAGTCTTAGGCTCAATAATCATGCGTAGACTGAGTGGTGCTCGGGAGGCACAAACACGAGAGAGCCAGGCAGGCTTTAGACCAGGAAGAGGGTGTATTGATCATATCTTCACCCTCCGACAGATTCTAGAACATAGGCATTCCTACCGGCGTCCAACAGTCATTATATTTCTTGACCTAAAGGCAGCATTCGACTCTGTCGATCGAGAAGTTCTCTGGAGATGCTTGGCTGTAAAGGGAATTCCGAGAAAATATATTGCACTGATTAAGGCACTCTACTCGTACTCATACAGCCAGGTGAGGGCTTACGGCGAGCTGTCATCTGAACTGATGACGACCAGTGGTGTCCGTCAAGGATGCCCATTATCCCCTTTTCTATTCAACTTCATCATAGATGTGTTAATGGACTTAACCCTAGGTGACTTCAGCGACTCAGGGATTGACTTGCTACCAGGGAATAATCTCGTTGACTTGGAATATGCAGACGATATAGTCCTTCTAGGCGAAGACGCTGACGAAATGCAGAGTCTTCTAAACACCTTGAGCCGCAATCTACGAATGTTTGGCATGCGATTCGCTCCCGCCAAATGCAAGATGATGTTACAGGACTGGACTACATCGACGCCTAGTTTAAAAATAGGAAGTGAAGTGGTAGAGCACGTTGACCGCTTCACTTATTTGGGAAGTACCATCAGCCAGTGCCAACGGGTTGATCTCTGACGAAATCTCAGCACGAATACAAGGGGCTCGTTTCGCATTTGTTAGTTTACGCCGACTCTGGCGTAGACGAGATGTTCGACTATCGACCAAAGGGCGGGTGTACTGCTCATCAGTCCGCTCCGTCCTCCTTTATGGTTGTGAGACCTGGCCACTGAGAGTGGAAGACATGAAAAGACTAGCTGTCTTTGATCATAGGTGCCTGCGCTCTATTTCCCGTGTAAAGTGGCATAATAAGGTGAGCAACATTGAGGTTAGGCGTCGAGTTCTAGGTAAACAGGGGAAATCAATCGACGAAGTCGTGAAGTTACAAAGACTGAGATGGTTAGGACATGTGTTACGTATGCCAAGTCATCGCCTCTCTCACACCTCTGCTCACTGTTTCTATTATGCTTTTCTTGTACTTTCTTCTCTTGCTTCGCGTGCTACACGGAGTGTGGCGACTTGAACTTCCGCACATTTGTGCAAAGTTCTATGTCGAAAACAGACAGACAGACCTTATTATGCCATTTCACACGCGAGATAGAATGCAGGCGCCTATGGTTAAAGACAACTAGCTTCTTCATGTCTTCTATTCTCAAAGTTCACGTCTCACAGACATAAAGGAGGACGGAGCGGACTGCTGAGAGGTACACACGTCCTTTGGTCGATGGCCGGATATCACGTCTACAGTAGTATTACCCAATAGGGACTGGGTAATGTTTGTTTGTGGTACCAATCAGTATTAACATTATCATACAAGCAAAACGTATGACACTAGAAGCTTACTAAAATTTATTTTGCTAACAGTTAATATATTTAGGAAATCTGCAAACGAACACTCAGACATTTTAAGTGTTATACACCAATTATATCAAACTAATAACTCCAGAATCTGAATACTGCTTGTATATGCGGTTGGGGATTTGGTGAATGATAGTTCCCTATTGATACTCATACGCATTGACCTTAACAGTAGTGAAAATTCCAATTAGGAACACAGGTTTCCTATAGTATATCACGCGTCGCTATAACCCACAAAATTATCTGTCAGAATTAGTATCGATAGTAGTGTTGTTTCATAAGATAACTGTATGTACAGAGGCAGAGTGAGACTATAAAGAACGACCGCAGTTCTACTGTAATGCGAAACCCACCTGGATGAGTGAGTGAGTTTCAACCTAAAACTTAGCACAGAGATGTAGCGCAGTTTAAGTTGCCACACACTCCATATAGCACAAAAAAGTAAGCGTAAAACAGATTTAAAAGAACTATAAACAAGCAGAAATGTTAGGGAATAAATAGTAACATGGAAAACATAACAGTTTAATGAATATATGCGATCATAAAGAAGAGTGAATGTACCTGAGCCATTAACAACGATTCATTCTCTCATACATTACATTAACTTAATTTGAAAAGCACTCGGAATAGTTTATTTGCTTGAAAATTCTTTCGATAAACAATATGTTGAAAAGAAATCTAGCACTGGTTACAATAATAATTCTTACCGAAAACATATGACATCTGCTTCTTCATACCACGTAACCACACGTTTCGAATCATCCTTCGGTACTGGGAATAGATGCTTCAGAATACACCGAACACGCTGACCTAGTTTAGAATTGAGTCCTTTAAAGATATGGTTAGGATAACTTTGTGGCATTTTAGCGCCTGACCCGCATCCCATAGTCTCCATATCATGACGTGTACGTACATTAAATAAAGTGAAAATGGCAGTTGGACCAAACGGTAGGTGACTAATAATCAAGGTGTCTGGAACACCTCTTGATTCATTGACAATAACTACATCAGTGATCTGCCATTCACAAAGAAATAAAGATTACCAAAGGATTAATAATACTCTCTAACGACATGCTAAAGTAATTGGGCGCGGAAACTAAATATTTTGAAACTATGTAGAGAATTCACATACCTTTATGTACGTATGAATCAAAAATAAAACACGAAAAATTATTACATATAAGACGCAGTCGTACATTTCTTAATGACAAAACTACTGATTAAATATATTTATTCTGCAAATCATGCCTACTACTCGACTACCGGCGAATTCATTGGTGAACATCAAACCGCTATCACCAGTTAATTGCACTCATATAGTTACATTAGCATAATGCTGGCAATTTTCGCATACAGGAGATATGCAAATGAAAATTTCTCAGTACTCACAGGAACAACTTGTAGCCTGGCATATATATATATATATATATATATATATATATATATATATATAAACCCGTTTTCAAGTAAAAGAAAGATAATTTTTTATTATAGCTTGATTCCACACCGTACTTTTAGTACAAGTATGGAATTTTCAGCATGTGATATTGGTAGCCCAAATTGTGCAGGCCGACCCTTGATATCAGGTGTGCGTCGGCAGGGGATCGAACCCCGTACCACACTTGTGATCGGCGAGTGTCCTAACCACTGTGCCACCGACGCACAAGCGTGACTATTGATTACAATTGGGACATAGTGCGCACAAGATTTCTAAAGTTTCGCAGACGTTTAAAGAGTTGTCCTAAGATTTTTGCTATGATTTTATACTACTGAACAAGACAACTTCATCTCGTTTTCTAGCATTCCACTTTTCCAGGCGGTCCCATGACACAGGAAAAGGAAGTTTGGACGTCGGCTAGTGACCCTACGCCACAAAAGCAATCCAACCGATACAGAAACTCCAACGTACAGAAACCTATATTAAAAATACAAAATCTTTAAAAAAATTATTCTGTGCTGGAATCCGAGAGGGGAAATGACAAGGCAGACTGGTGAAAGACTTCACGAAGCCAGCCATGTGTCTCTTCTCAATGAAAGTAACAAGAATATAAACGTCGAATGTCCCCACAATATACGATGCTGGCTGGGAAGGCTGCACAGGTAACAAAGAAATCACCAGGCACGATAGGATGCTGTTCGGAATCTGATAGAGCACGTGGAAGGGATGTGGACTATCGAAATTGTCAACCGGAGACTCAGTAATCTACTCAAGTCTGGTCACCAACAACAACCAAAGCTCAAAGGCAGTGGCAACCAATCTCCTCTTGCAGCCTAATGACACCAAGATTCAACTCGAAAAAGGGGATGGAAGAAAGGAAGGGAGAAAGAAACCTTAAAATTATCCAATACTACTCACAGTCCTACAAACAACTCGGAACAATAGAAGGAGGAAGAATTACACAGTCAACTGAAAACAGTGATGGACAACATCCCAAATGGAGACATCCAAGTCCTAATGGGCGGTATGAATACCAGCCCAATGGGAGCAAACAATACAGGAGGAGAACTCATCATGAATCGACAGGCTGGGTCGCTCGGACAAATGAATGACAATAGAGAACTATTCTAAGGCTTCTGTGCCTTCAGTGATTTGGTGACTGTAGGCAGCGTATACAATCACAAGGATATCACAAGGGGCATCACGGATTTCACTTGACGGACACACTACAGACCGGATTGACTTAATTTCTACGTTGCTCAAAAAAGTGGAGATGCAATCTGCTGGACACATTATCAAGAACGGGAACAGATGTCAGTCGAGACCAGATTCTAGTGTACAGAACTCTCAGAGTGAAGTGAAAATCCCTTAAACAACTGGGGAGAGCCCGAAATCCCAATTCAACATTCAGAAACTGAAAGACGAAACTAAAACGGATGCTTTTACTACAGATATCACAACGAATTCGGAGAAACTACGTGGTGTCACCGAGGAAACCTACGTGGAAGAACATTGCAACTATCTGACGGCGATACTCCCAGAAACATGTAACTCGGTTTTCGGAAGAAAGAAGAGACACAACAATGAATGGCTCTCCACGGACACCTACCCGGAAGCCAATAGAAGAGAAGAGAGGAGGATGGTGAAACAGAAGATGACTCAATGCAAAGATGTACAACACAAGGAGAATCTGAGTTCAGTGCACATCGCACTGAATCAACAAAGAAGTGAAGCAGAGTGCTAGGAGGGACGAAAGACAATTCTACAACACACTAGCCACCAACTGAAACAGAACAGGCAGGAAGACCGCACGTAAAACACACCTGAGAACATCATATCAGATATCCATGTCTCTATCAGCGTAGAAGTGGACACAGGTGAAACCCAGATGAGATGGTCAAGGGAACATGATAACCAAGAAGGAGAAACGAATAAAACAATGGGTTGATCATTTCAAACGACTCTTGAATCGACTATCACCTGCAAATCGCCCACACATACCACTAGCACTAACAGAACACCACACAGAATACACAGAACTACCAACCAGTGGACACCAATCCTCCAACGAAAGCAGAAATCCCAAATGATATCAAGATGCTGAACTCCGGCCGTGAAGGCACCAGGACCAGATGGAATTCTCCCTGAAGAACTGAAGAAGGACCCAGACACTGCACTGGATATGCTCACACTGCAATTGTAAAGAGTTCGGAAGGAAGCGAAGGTGCCAGCTGGCTACAAGAATGGCTGCTTCGTCAAACTGCCAAAGAAGACCGATTCAGGCCTCTGCAATAACTGGAGTGGAATCATTTTCTCGTCCACACCGAGTAAAATACTAGGTCTCATCGTCCAGAAGGAGAATATAAGATGCGCTGGATACAGAACACTACCAGCCCCACCGACCAGAACAAGCTGGATTCACGAAAGGCAATTCATGTACTGATCAAATTAAAACTCTACGCATAGTCATCATCATCGAACACAGCATAGAATAACAGTCAAACCTCTCTCTACCTCAACTTCATCGACTTCAGAAGGGCCTTCGACAGTGTTGACCACGAAGTAGTTTGCAAACTACTTCAACACAATGCAGTGCGATGTAGAGCAGCGTAGTGGCACGAATCTTTATCAACCCTCTTCAACAGCTATGTGACAGTGACAGGTGTCAGGTGATCCACAACAAAATACTCTGCGAAGCCTTGGAGTGAATACAGAAGTGAGACGAGCTGGCTGCATATTATCACCAAGGATATTGTTAGTTGTGGTCGACTGGATTATGCGTCAGACTGTTAGTGGGAGTGAGTGGACAGGAATACGCCGGACCACCATCAGTAAAACTCTAGGAGATCTGGATTTCGCGTGTGGATGATTTATGTTCAATGTCACAAACTCTAGAAAGAATTGGCCAAAAGAAACTATGGGAACGAATTGATTGAGAACCTATCTCCTCAGAAATATTTTGGAAAAAATGGAGATGGATTGGACAGACGCTTAGGAAATTATCGAATGACAGTGCGTGCCAGGCTCTCGAGTGGAATTTGAGTAGAAGACGACAAGTGAGTCGTCCCAGTGTGAGCATGGAAGATGTCGTGTGAGGTGTAGTTGAGAAATTACAGGCAATCAAGAAGCTAGCTAAAGAGGACCGCAGAGAATAGGATAAAGTGCAGATATGCTGTTGAAGTTCAAGACAACAAGAACAAAATATTAATACTCCTTCAAGCAAGATTCAGGGTGTACCTGATTTAAGTGAACCACGGAAAGTAAAGATAATAAGCGGGAAAGTAGTTGGCACACTTAAGCAATGATGACATATTTTTCGACAGTTAGTACTTAAACAACTGGAGATATTCTGATGAAAAAATCATACGTAAGATTCTTCATGAAAGAATACTAAAACAGTGTATGAATTGCATTGAATGCATTGCATTCATTATTAACTTTGAATAGAGACCTCCATAATGTTGTATTTTGAATATTTACTATTGCACAAAGCATAGTGTCATCTATAGTTGTTTTAAACTAGATCCTACGTATTATTTTTCAGCACACTGAGCTGACTAAAATGTCCTGTTTATTTAATTTTATCGGCTTACTCTTACAAACCGCTTTACTGTAAACAATGTAACCATACTGCCTAACTAGGTAATATGACTACATAACTGTAGGAAGTAAAGATGAAGTTGACAGAGAAAGTATTTCTCACCCATTAAAATGTTTTAAATTACAATCGATAGATACAAGTAATTGTCTACAAGTTTCACAATTTCAGTTATAACAGTCAGATTCAATTCAGTGATCATTTTAGTGAAATTAGTTGTAATAAATACCAACAAGTATATCTATTTAATGAACCAAAACAAACTGCCGTTCACCATCGAAAAAATCTCTATTGTTAGCCTATTAAACTGTTGTCATTTCAGTTAAGTAAAAACAAACTAATCAACAACAAAAATGAAAGAAAAATACCTGTTTTGCTAGACAAGCTTCTAATAAATCTTTATTAAGGTAATTTCCTCTGTTAATCTTTGTTGCATTCGGAACAAGGAAACGTAATTCTTTGGCGAATTCTTTTAATTTGGAGCTAGGAGAGCGTGATGTCGTGACAACAACTCGAGGATCTTCAGTCCCAGCCCAAAAATACTCATCATCTTGGTTAGTAGCAACTCCTTAAAAGATAAAGGTGAAAGGTGACACTAAAAGGCATACCTTCACCACCATCATCACTCCAGTCTAGCTCTTCGTTTAACTGTAATGCATCCTTCTGGATTTCTTTAGGTAAGGATTTTCCCTCAGCTAAGGCAGCTTTCAACAGTTTTTTCTTTTTTTCGTCTTCAGCATCCCGAACTTCGATAGATCTTCTATAGATAAATTCTCTACGTAATCTCGCTTGACGTTTTAACTATATTGCGTAGGGAAATAAAATGAGCAGAAAGGCAATAATATCAGAAACATTTATATCGAATAAAAAATTACTCCATATCACTTAGATATCTAGAATTTCATGATGAAGCAGAACACTTTACAATGTAATCAGTTCCATGTTCTTTATCTACATTTACAAAGCATTAATACTACTTAATTAAATAGAAAAGGAATAACTCAGAAGTTTACAAGTTAGAACTAAAAAGGGATCTCAACGAATAATTTCTCCTTAATAAGCGTACATATCGACGATGCCACAAACGCCAAATAAAAATGGAATGGTCTTAGAAACACTCTTGCATTGTCTCAAATTTCCACTTAGATCCCGACTTATGGTGTGTACCTTCAAGATTTTCTATTCTCAGTTCAGTGGGCAAGGTAAGTAGTTTGTATGATTGATGAACTGACGACAGTGTTAACCATGCACAAATATTCCTATGGAACTTTTGGAAGATAACATAATCAATATAAGCAGAGATACAACTCGGGATGTGAACAACACAACAACAAATAAAACTTTTTGTTTATATTGTTGGGAGCGCCATAAGTTGTCTCTGTTAGATGTTTTTAAACGCTCGTCATGTTAACCACTGATTTTAAGAGTTACGTACACAACAGCGTTTGTAAATTTTCAAAAGCCTCGTTGAAATGATAGACAGGAGAATTAATTTAGCATAAGCTTCAGTTCAAGTCTTTATATTCTGCAGAAGCATACAAAATAGAGCAGAAACGGTATTACACTATTATAGACATGTATGATGAAGAGAACAATAAGTGATAATTAGTGGTTTTTGAATCTGGAAAATGATAACTGTGTATATCTGCTCCACTAGGTAGGATTTTCAGTTATAATAAGAAAATTATCTAATCACTGGTTCGAACCATTCAGAAGACTACAACTAGACAAAGTAAACCCTTATGGACTTCACATAAACAAATAAGGACTTCATGGATTGACATCATGTTTTGACCTGACCACAAACTCATTTGCAACTTTGTACATCTTCAGCTAGTACTTCACAACATTTTTACAGACTCCTAGGTAATCACACGACAACTTCTTACGTATAACTCGTGATAGACTGTACCCAATTATTCAGTTTGTTTTCGAATCAGAATATCAATGGTAGTGATAGGTTGCATAGGGTCCCGAGGATGATTATCATTCGTCTACTAGAGAATTTCAACCAAGAAATAACGATAGTTGATTTGTAATTCATGTTCCAACAAATGAGGGAATAGTATTACGTGATTGGTTCATCCACCACCGGGATTACGCTCAACCTATCCTTCGCGAGTCAATACTCTAAAAAGCTAACAAAACAGCACGAAGGCACCTAGGCACTCTAAAATAGAACAGTATTCTTGCGATTAACAGACACATAATACAGATCCTCTAAAGAAAAAGATACAATGACCCTCTGTACTCGTTTGTACTATCTTGCGTGTTAGTGGCTAAACTCGATTCTAGATTGGTTTGAAATTTCGCTGCAGCGGTGTCAGTTAATACGTCTAAGTCAAACCACCGAGGACAACGTTCACAGCCACGAAAGCAGAAAAGGAACTGACAGACTGCAGGGTGATCAGGATTCATATAAGTTCTCCAGAAGGCGAAGTGGTCCTGAATGCATTTACGCCATCATCGGTAGTGGATGACAGTGTGACCTATTTGGGTCCAAACTTGTACGATAGATGGTTAAAACCGAGAAACATAACCATAATAATTGTCATTTAAGTTGGTACTGGGTGGAAATAAGGTATGTCCTGTGCATAGATGAAGGAAGCAGTGTTTATTAGTTGACCGATCATCTAATCCACAGCCACCACAATAATGACTCCCCAGCGAGCCTGAAAATCCAACTTATGCTATCGATTCCTCAGATAGCACTTCTGTGTCGGTCAGGGAAGACTTTATCAGAATACTATTTATTAATAAAACCCAAGACTAAGCATATACTTAGTGACCGAGTGTCACAGAAACCATATTTAGATGTTTTGGTTCAGTGGCAACATGTTTCGTGAAGATAAACACGGATATCTGCTAAAGAAGGAACCAACTTGCTACAAAAGCATTAATGACTGGGCTGTTACTGATGCCAACCTGACACATTTACTGTACTACCCCTTGGGTCCGCTTAGGAAATGGTCAGTGCATAGAGGGAATTCGTTTTGGATATGACACTGTAGTACGCTAATATCGATTAGAGACTGATGCCAAATGGAAATATATGTGTAGAAACGAATCACACTTGTTGAGATATATGACTTCAGCGATCACCGAAACATGAGGGTGTTGATAGCTCTATAGAACAATTTTTCTAGAACAGACATACTTCACTATAAAAGCCCCAACCATTAACGGTAGGGAGCTTTGAAATAGTCTGACAGTTCTATTAAATGATATGGCAAAAACACTATGACAAGGCAGTAGATTTTTATTCCCAAACTCCAGCATCGTGCAATGTTTTGTCGCATGTATGTTCTTGACAGACACGTTCACGGTAAGTTGGCAAGGTGACAGATTTATATATGCAAAACGAAAGGAGAGGAGTTAAGACATTAACGTATGCTAAATATTGTTATTAAATGTACACTTGATTTTTGTGCTTTCAGTAGTGGGTCTGATATCATCTTGATCTAGTCAAATGCGTTTGTACACACTACACAGTCGGACATGAATGGGAAAAATCAGTGGAAGATGAGAAAAAAATAGGGTATAGTCATAGAATTGGAAAATGAGCGAATTCTGGTTATATGACATCATTTTTCCCCATATTAGCTGAAGTTCACCCAATATTTTCCATTGTAAAACTACTAATTTCCCATTTTAACGGTTATTTAAGCAAAATTCTCCCATTTGAACTGCAATTTTCACATTACACTATCATTCCTCTAACCATTCTTCGACCATTTTTTGGTGGACTCAGTACGTCTCTGGGCCACATAACTTTCACTAGGATTTCTTGGAAATAAAAATATCCTCACAGTAGTAAATATAAGAAAAGAGGGCATTTTGCCCTATAATATTTTAATAAATTGCCTAGGAATTTACACTAAATCATGAACGTTGATATTTCCACTCATTTTCTAATTCAATCAGCCAGTGTGGAAGATCGATAGGTTTAAGATCTGGTATTCCGTCTACATTTATTCTCTCCAAACTTTAACAACAAGGGAAGAAATTAGGTGAAAACCTTTCGAAAACGTGCTTACCATCAGAACTTTAATGACAGCGGGCTAGACTTCAAGGTCAGGTTCAGATTAATTGGTTGAGGATAGGATTGAAGCCTAAGTTAATCCTTTTCTAGTAAATTTCTCTGTTTTTCCAAACCCTTCTTGAATTAATCACTTGATGTTGCCGACTCCTCTTCTTCTTAGAGCCGGTTCCATGAATTTATGACTCGTTGTGAGAACCAGTAGTCCACAGCAATTGATTAATACTTGGCTTTTAAACCCTCTCGATATGTCCTCTAAGGTGGTCCGCTCTGGTGGGAGGGAAAACAGAGAATAGGTCAGGTCCGTAGTCATTATTTTAAGCACTGTAAATAAATCTACTCTCTGCCTACGTTATGATAGGGAGATTTAGAGATTTAAACTGTCTAGTCTTCCCAGTATGATAAGTTAGTCATGCCGAGAACCATATGTGTTGCCTTCCTTTGAACCCTTTCTAGAATATGTGGGTCCCCTTTAAGACTAGGACTGCATGTCTGGATGCAGTTTGCTAGTTTCGACCTGACCAGAGATGTATGTAAATAGGTGAACATATGTCTGATGATTCTGGTAAAGACTATGCGAATAGCCCATAAGGACCTGAAACTACGTGCAGCCACCATGTGACAGTATGCTGTAGTTTTTAAATCGTGGCTAGCTATAACACTTAAATAAAAATGAGTCTGAACTGATGGGAGATATATTCCCTCTAGTTCGTAGGACCTGATGCTTGCGTGCCACATACGCATGGTTGCACATTCTGCTACATTGATCGGGAGCGTCCATTCTCTGGACCACTTTGACAATTTGTCGAGGACTTCTTGCAGTGTGAGCGTATCACTGTTGGCCTTCAGCTCTTTCCAAATTTTCAAGTCATCTGCGTATAGGTGAGCAGAGATAACTCACTGATATACAAACTGAACAGGAGAGGTCCAAGTACTGAGCCCTGTGGCACTCCGCTACGCACTGCTGTCAAAGAGGAGAATTTCGAGTTAATCCTAACCCTTTGCCTCTTATCCATGAGGAATTCACAATCCATTTTAGTAAGCTGCCTTTGATACCAAGACTTTCCGACTTCATGAGCAGTCTTTTGTGAGGATCTTTATCGAAGGCTTTGCTGAAGTCTACGAAGACGACAGCAACAGGTCCTCTGTTGTCCCTTTATTCGACCCAGCTTCCTCTTACAGTGAGGAGATTTGGCAGGCATAAGAGATTTTCTCGGAAGGCATACTGTGCTTTGGATAACAAATTCTTGCTTTCCAGATATGCCATGGTACTTTTCTTGACGATTCTTTCCAGTGTTTCGATGAAGGTTCTAGTGAGACTAATAGACCTGAAGGGTTTTATCTTGATCCTCCCTTGTGGGTGGGGTTTACTATGGCGTATTTCCAGTCACGCGGTGACACTCCATTTAGGAGAGGTAGCTTGAAGATCGTGGTCAGTGCTCCAGCTATGGGAACTGATAGATCTTTGAGAAGCCTCTGATGAAGTTTATCAGGACCCACTGATTTCCCTGGACCTAGTTTCATTAGGCAGTTGATCATAATGTCTTGGTTGACGTCAACGGAATCTGTCTTGTGTTCCTCTGATGCAGCCAGAGCTGATTATGTGGGGAGTGACGACTCTTGTGTAAAGACTTGAGAGAAGTAGTCTGCCACTGCTTCTGCTTTTTCTTGGTCTTCTTCGATTGTGCCATTGACAATTGACAGTGAGCAGGAGAGATTGATTTTTTAAAAAGATTTGAGTGGGTCGCCTTAGTCTTATTATGTAAGATGAGTATTAAGTTGTTCTGTGAATCTCACAGTTAGCCTAGGATGACTTTTATTTTTGGGTTTCAATTGAAGGTTCACTTGCCTTCACTGTGCTCGTTGTTCCTCCAACGACTGACGGGTACTCCATCAGCAGTGTACTATTCGGAACGCTTAGTTCTATGCTCATGGGATCGCCTTCTCTGTAGGCTGGTGCCCACAGAGTATTTGCGTTCTATTTTGTCCGAGACAAAAATTTTATGCATACGTTTAGTGACTTTATATGGTTCGTCGTAGAGGGGTTCCAAAGGGCGAAGTACAGAGTCACGACGAACAAATACATGTGAATAGGTTTTCAGACATGTGTGAACAAAGACGTCTATGGACTGGAGTCAACAAGGAGTAGGTTAAACTAAACGCATTGAGATTTTACACCTGCTGACTTTTGAGGCGTGATTTATCGCTGGTAGGAAGACAGAGGGAGAAACAAACTCACCAGGCAGCCGTAGCGTTGTGTCATATACTAGCTCGGCAGCAGTACAGTATCAGCCTTCTGTGCATTTCTTACCATTGCATTGTTTGCAGCTGATAACCAAGTCATACCATACCGCTAGTTTGAGGATGGTAGGCTGTTGGCCTAAAACACATACAACCTATGATTTTAGCCAAGTCAAAGAATACGCCGCTTTCGAATTGTCACCCACGATCAGTTATTATTTTGTTTGAGCATCCAAAATTTTTTCATCCATTGTTCTATAGAGACGCGTGAGATAGCGTCAGCAGATACCCTCGTCAGGGTTAATGCTCTGGGCCAAGGCACATGTCATTCAAGTCTCATAAACCGTTAATGCCCAGCTCTTGCTACTCTGGGCCTCACGCTGTCCCTCAAAGATTTTCAGAAACGCTTAGTATTAGCCGGCGCAAAAAACCAGAAACACTCTTTAGCGACTCAAGAATTCTATTCTAACGCCAACATATAACCAGAAATACTGGCATTACAGACTAAGGTTCCTGACAGTTTTTTGAACTTTCTTCTAAACAGCGACCGCTGAGACGATGACTGGTGGATTGATGCCTCCGCGAAAATATGGGGAAGTTGGGTTTGAGCAAACAACCATGAATTGATCGTTCAATCTTCAACTACATTGACAGCGCATAACGGTCAATCCAGGTCAATTTTAGGCATGTCCATGGGATTCTAGGAGAGGTTCAAACAGACCTATATGAACGTGTTCGAAACGAGCATCACGGATAAGAAAGGTGCTAAGAGGGCATCTGGCGTCTTTTTATCTTCTTACTTTGCTTTTTTGGCAAGCTATACATCAGGTCAAAAAAATGACTGGTTATGAACTTGTCGGTAGTTCGAATGTCTGAGCGGGATATGCCATGCAACACATTCAAGGCGGTAAGGCGAGAACTTTTGGGTACTATAGGACGAGGAGTATTCGTGGAAATGTCTTTGGAATATCCTCTGGTGCCATCGGGGTCTGGTTATATGCTTTAACCAAGTCTATTTTCGAGAATATAGTTGCACCAGATCATGTTGCCGTCAAGTCGCGTATGTAAGGCAATGGATAGCAATCAGAGGTTGTTTTGGAGTTCACTCGCTTGTAATTACCAGTGGGTCGCCAATCGTTGCTATCTTTTTTCGGTACCATTTTCAGTGGGGATGCCCATGGGCTATTTGATAGTCGAATGATGCCAAGGATGAGCACACGGTCGAATTAATTTCTAGCTGGAAATTTGGATCATAGATTGCCTTCTTCTTAGTAAGTGGCAAGCTGTGGCCTGCGTAGGTGATCCCTTAAATAGACAGTCTCACTGCCACGTGCGACAGCCGCCGCTATTTGATGCCAGAGGGATAGTTTCCCATAGTTCTGGAGTCTTTACCAAAATTATAGGTTTTCCAGCAAAATTTTGCCTCTTGGCTATAAGTATTGTGATACCAACAGCAGTCAGGGACTTTAGGTGATAGACAAAAAATGATCAGAGATGAAAAATAATACGTTATAACATACGCACATGGTCACACCGATGTTTAAGTCATTTAACGGCTAATAAGTATCAGTCGAAATTATTTTAGTGGGCATTTACGTGAGTAAGCATTTTTGAGACTTAGTAGTGCATACTGCAACTTTTTTATACGTTATGTATTATTTATGCCTATATAAATGATTTCCTTTGACTTTTAGCAAGCAGAAACTCTACATAAATATGTAACAAAACGAATACTTATCATACGTTTGGGCTTCCTTACTAGGTGCAAGTTGTGAGCATTCGTTGATCAAATGACCTATGTCCGAGTACAGGCTGCCCTTATGTGATTACTTATTAACGCATACTGGAAGAGGCGTAGGTGTTATATTCTCCCTTTGTTAAATGAGTAGTATCAAAGGCAACCTGACCACCAATTCACTGTAATTAACAAAAGATTCAACCAGTAGTTTGGCAAATGTGAAATTTTATACAGATTACCTGGACGTAAAACAATGCTCAGAGTTGTAAATAGCTGAGAAACAACAAAGTAACTAGCTTGCAAGCCTTTAATACATGTAAAAAATGGTGTTGCGTACTAGGATCTGGCCCCAATCTGTATACTAGAATCCAACTACGTCTTCACGACTTCCAGTCTACCACACGCTGTGTCCGACTAAATATCGACATGGTTATGTCAAAAAGGCAAAAGTGAAGACTCGAGAAATTACTAGCAACGTTGAATTTCCACAGTACGCGAACCAAGACGAACGTTGCTTAATCGAAAACCGATGAACAATTAAATAATGGTAAATATTCACTAAACAGGTGTATGAATTAATTTTAGAAACTTCTAGTTATAGTTAGTAGAGGTGCACGACGCTGACATCCTAGAGTTTCCAGGTTTGACACTGTCAAATTTTAAGATTGAAAGTAATTCATCCTTATTACGCTACCAACGATACAAACTTATAACTTTTCATACATCCTCTAGCATATTATCTCTAGTCGTCATTCACATGTATCCTTCCTACTTTGATTTTGCTTATGATGGAAATGGTTGTTGTTGTAATGAACGACCAGTTACTTTAATCAATACACATTGTGTATGTTTACGAGATAAAATTATGTATAAATGAAACTGTACAATTATGTGAACAAAATATGCGAAGATAGATTGTCACCTCCTTTTAAACAGTGACAATAATAATAATTCAAGGCTTAATGAAATTCCAGGCGAACTACTCTACATACTTGGTTATTCATATCAGGCTCAATACAGAGACAAGCATGAATATATGTCACAAACGATTATAATTGTTTGCAGTTACCTCTTCCTCAAGTTCAACAG